TATCAATCCAGAGTACTGTGATTTTTCAGTTGTAACCCATTTGACATAGTCTATGATAAAATTACTTTCCACGTACTCTGTATGATCCTTACCTATGACAAGTATTGTGGTTCTGATTGATGAGTAAAGAACTAATGAATTGCTCTTTTTCTGTTCATGGTGCAGACTACTGAAAGGCTTTAGTGTGGTTAAAACATCCTTTTCCACACTTGCCTGCCTTTATGAAAACTGTGATTCATTCAGAGTACTTGACATTTGAATATTTGCCATGATATCTCTTTTTTGACATGTTCTAATTCTCAGCTATGTTCTCTAACGATCTTTTATCTAATGTCTAGGTAGTATAATGTGACAGGGATAAAATGTCACTTATTCCACAAGTGTTATTTCTCTTCTTTGTAGTTGAATCTATGTCTTAGATGAATCTTTATGTCTTAGATATGTTTATTTAATCACTCATTATATACTTAATTCTGAAAAGTAATTTCACTTAACCCTATTATATGATTTATCTTGGCTGCGGATGCTAGATAAAAATACGGCAAACACGTTAAAGTCTGTCCATAGAGTTTTTAAAAATTTTGAATGTAATGTTTATTGTAATTGCTCAATACTGCTATTACCGACAAGGCCATTTTGGCCTCAGTCACATTTTAGGAAGGATGCTCAGACTATACAGAATCTAGGTTAGCTTGGCATTCTGGCTTGCGGGTTATCTCCTTTTCTTCTCAGATTTTTATTTTGTAAGACGGTTGCCAAAATATCATTTCCCTTCTTTCATTTATGTTTTGGACCATCAAGGATGTATTAGTTAAAGTCAAACTATTGGCATTTTTGTCCCTGGATAATTTCTTATACATGCATTGTGAGATATTACTTCTATGTTATAAGTGCATTGGTAGTAAAAAAAAAAATCAAATTTTGTAGCTCTTTCATAAGCACGATTATTTTTATGTGATCCCTAAGAAATTCCTCCTTTCACACTTCTCTGTTTTTATACAGGTCCTCATGCTGATACCGCCAGCGGATGCCAGAATTTGCAGTGTGGTTTTCGAGCCTGCTGCCGCTCTGGCGAATGACCCTTGACTTCTGACCTTTGTCTACTTCATTTAGCTGAGCAGGCTTCCTCTCATGCACTTTACTTATAGCACATTTCTTGTGTTAACCATCCCTTTTTGAGTGTGACTTGTTTTGGCCCTGTTCCTTACGGCCTCAGAAATCTTAATTTACCAGTGAATTATTGTACAGTGTTGTTTCTCTCGTTTTTGTTTTAGAAAGAGATTAGGTCTTTTCATAAGGGTGAGAACAGTTTTATCAGATTTCTTTTAAATTGAGCGCTCTGAAAAAAATGTCACTAATGCCTTGCCATTTAAAGTATTTTTTAGATTATTTTGCGTTTCAAAGTCAGTGGGGGTTATTGGTTCTCTTTCTGTATAAACACTGTACCAAGCTTTGTAGATCTTTTCAAACATAGATTTCTGAAGTTTTATTTTCAAAGACTGCACATTTTGGCAACAAGTCTCTTTTCCATAATGTTTCCTTTATTTGAACAATTCTCAGAGGGCCAATTCAAACATACCCACATATAAGATTCTTTAAAATGATAGAATAAATTGGCTTCTTGGTGTTAGCTCAGTGAGCTAGCAAAGCACCAATTTATTTGTATTTGCTTTCTTCAAAGACCCCTGGTTCCTACCACTGTCCCTAAATTGTCAAATTGGGAGAGATTTTTAAAAATTCCACGATCATTTGAAGAACTGTATAAATAAAATCTACTTTGAGGACTTTACCATATAATTTCTTTTGTGTTTTGATTTTATTATAAATCTCAATGCAGGTTTACTTTGGTGTAAAATAGGACTAAATATTTTGTCTTTTGAGCCCCCATGAAATCATGACCCCAAGGAACAGTTTTAGACAGATAACTTAATTTCGTTGAGCTGAATAGTCTTTTTGAAATTAATTGTGCAGTAGTCAGAGTTTGAATGCTTATCTTCACTGCTGTGGGAAAAGATAATAGGGGCGGAGACCTACAATTCAGAAAAGTCATTTTTACATAATGCTACATATGATTTTGTGTCACGAAGAAGAGAATAGTGGGTGCCACGCCAGTTAGTTTTAGAAATACACGCAAGGCTGTGGAAGAGGGAGTAATCTTGCAGTCTTGTTATTTTGGGTCCCAGGAATGATTTTGTTTGTTTTATTGGGGGATAGGAAGAGTAGGAGAGAGAAACTATAGGTAGACAGGTTTCAGTTCAAGCTAAGGGAAAACTTTATTTTAGGGGGGTTGTCCAAAGAAGAGAGAGGAATCGTTCGATGGGCATATAAATAAGAAATTATTCTTGCTTTTAAATGTCACTCACATTTGAATTAAACACTCCAAGGGAAGACCCGCTCTAAAGGGTTACGTCCAACGACTCTCCAAACTTGTGCCTTTCTCTGTAGGGTCTCTCATTTCGACTCCATTCCTGTTAACATTGGCGAACTGAATGCTGGGACCAGCGCCAGTTTCCTGCACGAGGCGTAGGGCAGCTGAATAAGCTGACCATCGTACTTTGAGTCTGTAGCTCTTAAACTGAAGTAGTCATGTCTTTTGTGACCTGCTTTGAAAATCTGGCCTAAGCACAAAGTAAACTTTTTAGATTGCCTCAGAAAACTTGAAATCTGAGCTTATTGAGCAGTAACAGGGTCAGAAGTTTTATATTGTAAGGTTGACTGTTGTGTAGTTATTATATTTTTATTTCTATGAGTGTTTAACCAAGTTTATTGGAAAAGTTGACATAAGGGATTATTTCAAGAAAATAAATGACAAGATTTTTTCTGGAGTGAGTCCCATCCAAGCCCATACTTCACCTTATCTGTCGTTACATGAACCGCATGGTAAGATTGCTCATCTGTAACCAGGTCCTGAGTCATCAGGGGAGGACCAGAGTTTATCTCCCATATAGTCAGAAAAGAGTATGGTATTTGGGGGAGAGGGTGGTGGAGGGGGGTTGATTATAATACTTACAGAGAAAATTCACCATTAGATGTTTCTGGGCTTGGCTTTAAATGTCATCTTTTTAAATTAAATAATTCGAGCAGCTAATTTCCCCAGGGGTTCCAGGTAATTGAATTGCCTCCCTTCTGCTTTGTCCTGTGCTGCCTGATACTAGCAAACCGTTAAATAGGACTTGGCAGGCTTGAACCAAGCTGACTTCGGTACGTCAGCACAACCACGAGGAAACTCACTGTTTTTCTGCTAATCACCTTCCCTCCAGTTGCATGGGGAGATAGCATAATCTGCTTTTAACTTTTATACATTATCGCTGTTTTATTATTAACTTAAGGGGATAGTTAATATTTAATGAAACACTGCACTTAAATTTATCTTTAGTTTTGTGATTGACTTTGTGAACTATTGAAACTTCATTCTTAGATGAAAGGCAACAGTTACGTAAAATCCTTGTGGAACCTGACGGACACCACGTGCTCACTGCTGGGCAGTGTCCTAAATATAGTTGACCCTTGAATAATTTGGACTTGAATTGAGCAGGTCTACTTAAACGTGGATTTTTTTCAGTAAATACCTCTACTCTTCTTGATTTGTGGTTGGGAGTCTGGATGCAGAGAGCTGACTGCATCGATCTATGCCATTTTACATAGGAGACTTGAACATTGAGGATTTTGGTATCTGTGTGTGTGTGTGTGTGCGGGGGTGGTGGCTAGAACCAGTCCCCCATGAGTTCTGAGGGACAGCTAAGTTTTTGAGGAATCAAAGGGTACATGTGGGTTTTGAGTATGGGATCGGCGCCCCAACTCCTCTTGTTCAGGGATCAAGCTGTACCTCAAGTGTACTGACTTGCTCAGTCGTGACAGCAATGTGCAGTAGGTTTGTAATCATCCCGATCTTTCACATGGGGAAAGTAAGGACTAGGTTAAGGAACTGGTCCATGTATTCCAGCTAGTCAGTGGCAGAACTAGGATTTCTCTAGTCTTCATGCGTGTAACCACTGTGTTGTCTTGTCTCTACATTGGTAATGACTGTCACGGGTCAGTCCTTGGACTCTGTTGAAGAGTTCATAGTACAGGTATCAGAGGCATGTAAACATAGTTATCATACAATTTGATAACAGAAGACACAAGGGAATATAGCTAAAGGCGAAAGAGTTTCCTTAATTTGGTCCCTCTTTGTTTTGTTTTAAGTGAAATCCTCCTCGTAGTACATTAGTAGTTCTCAACTGGAGGCAGTTTATACCCTAAAGGACATTAGGCACCATAGGGAAACATTTTGGGTTTTCGTCACTTAGCAGAGGGGAAGGATGTAACTGGCGTCTAGTGGGCAGAGGCCATGGATACTGCTAAACATCTTACAATGCAGAGGACAATCCCCAACAACAGATAATTACATGGCCTAGGTCGCCAGTGATGCTGCAGTTGAGAAGTCCTGTTTACGTGTTTCTGGTCTGTGTACTTCTTCCCATGTCAGCACATGCGCTTAATCCTGTTGAATGGCTTAGTGTAATCTGACTGACTTAGTTTGGGCTGCTGTAACAGAATGCCATGGACTGAAAGGCGTACGCAACAAATAGTTCTGACAGTTCTGGAGGTGGGAAGCCCCGGGCCAAGGCGCGGGCAGGTCTGGTTTCTGGTGAGGGCTGTCATTCTGGTTTGCAGATAGCCATCTTCACATTGTATCCACACGTGGCCTAGAGAGAGGAAGCAAGCTCTCTCTGTCTCATAAGGGCACAGATCTCATCTGGAGGGCTCCACTCTCATCCCCTCATTACCTCCCAAAGGCCCCGTCTCCAAGTACTGTTCCATAGGTATGGAAATGCCATCTCAAGACAGGCATTGCGGAGTGCGGGGAACACAGACAATCAGTCCATAGCAATGGCTTAATTTTTTAAACTACTCTATTCATGTTTAAATTTATTCCCTTTTTCCCCTAAAATACTATATTGCTTCAGTGTGTGTGTGCGTGCGCGTGCGCGTGTGTGTGTGCATGCATGTATATACATGTGTGCTTGCTTAGTATTTCTGTAAGATACGGTCTTATGACATATTCAGCATTAAAAATAAAAATTTTGTATTGGGAAGTTCCTCCTTGCCCCCAGGAAAGTTGCGCTGTTTGCTGTTCTGCTGGACAGGCAGAGGAGAAGCGCATCCCAGGTGGACGGTGAGCAAGTGCGAACACACGGCATAAGGGGCCCCGGGGTAGTCGCGTCAAGTTTAGGGACAAAGTGGAGAGACACGGCAGACTACTAAATAAAAACACTTTATTTTGTACGGTATGAAAATAATTTTATTTCATTATTCACAAATAATTTCTGATGTGATCAATATCACTTAAAAATAGTCTCATCTTAGTTATAGTTTTACATAATATAAAAAGTATACAACGAAAAAATTACCTGTTGCGTATGAGGGAGGCAACATAGATCCAAACGGACAAGACGTTTTTGGGGTATGGGTGGATGTAGACGGCTAAAGCAAACTCCACACTGGGCACGTCGATGTTGTGCACGCCGGTGCTGTACACCGCTTCGACTAACGGCCTCAGTTCCGAGTAGGCCATGTGGAGCGGGAAGCCGGAGAACTGCCGGGGAAAACGAGATTCGTAGACATCAGGGAAGCTGAAAGATTGCGGTTTACTTTTTTCGCCGTGTGAATGTACGCAGTTCTTAATCTCAGTAAGAAATCTTCCTTCTGGATCTAAAAGTCATTTATTCTGCCTTTCTATTCAGCTATGTGTTAACACAGAAAATGGAGAGGAACTAAATGTCTAGTTTGTTTCAGTTGCTAGTGCATCGACTCGGTGTGTAAGACACCTGTTAGTCACCCTCCACTGTCACCTTCCCTCTCCCTGACGTAACCCCTGTATTCCAGGGACCTAGGTTAAGCCGATCCGTGCATCCCCTGCTCCTCCCTCCACCCTACCCCCCCGCCCCCACAATGGATCTCCAGGGAGGTGAGTGTGTTCCCAGGGAGTCTCAAAGTGAGTTTCAGGGAACTGGCTGGGAATGATGGCCCACGGATGCTGTCTCCTGCACAGGCACTGTGTTTGCACATTGTCACTAGCTGTGAGTCCTGCCTGGAACTGTCCAGCCAGCCCGAGGATGCCATCACACGGCGGAAGTGAGGAGATGCGCAGAAAAACACAGCCGTGATAGCGACTCTCTCCTCTTCTTAAATCAGCACTAAGTTTTCTGTTTTTTGAATTGAAAACATCCTGGCTGAAAACCTGGCCTTAAAAGTTTCACGGATCAGTTTAGGTCAGTGAATAGAATTAGATATCCCACTTCACACTGTTTAGCCAGCAGGGTTCACTGTCTTAGTTGGAGACTGCTTTCTAGGTTTTATTGTCCAGCTGTAGGATATGAACACTCAGCACTATCGACAGACAGTAGAGAGGACATATTGTCTGTTAAATGAGATTTTTTTTTCTTAGCAATGAAAAGTACAATAAAATATCCTTTAAAAAAACCAGATGGGGAGTGGTTGGTGTCACCTTAACACACAGTTGAGTCTAACATTTAGCCAGATGTTTTCATTTTATTTAACACTTGAAGTGTATTTTATAAAAGTTGTTTTTTATAGGATCATCTTAAAGATGGTATTTTTATTTTATAGAGATATTTTGCTATTTAATGATAGGTTAATTACTGAGATTTGAACTTTTAATCACACCTTTTAGTCTATGCTGCCTCATGCACACACTGGGGAGCAAGGTAGGCATTTTGATGCCCAAAACCCCGTGATGGAGGAATTTCCCGGTGGAAGCAAGGAAGGCCGCGGGCTGGGGCGGGCGCCGTTGGCACTCACCCTGTAGTCCCCCAGCTGCTTCAGCAGCCCCGCCCTGTGCCCGTCCTCCACGTCCTCCCCCCGACTCTCCTCCAGCAGCGGCAGGAAGTGGCGCAGAGTGGCCGTGCAGTGCCTGTTCCACCGCGTCAGGTGGCGCGGCCTCCAGCCCATGATCTTCTCTCTCAGTATCTTCTCAATCCTGTTAATAAAAATAAACGCCACGGTTGGCTGATTCGACTTTTCCCTTTTAAACAAAAGTCCAGTTTGTATGCAATGGGGAGTCAGGTGTTGACATAACCACCTTTTTGTTGGAGTCGTCATTCACTAGCCATAGCTGGTACCTAACACGGGCTAATCCCTGCGGATTCAAGAATTAACCCGAGTGATCCTTGCCCTTAAGTACTGTATGTGGTGGGGCAGGAAACAGACCCGTGGACAGAAAGTAGATGACAGCCTAAGGGCGGGAACATGTTTGAAGTGTCACACGAAAGAGGGAGTGCCGAATAGTGGGGATAGCCAAGTTCAATACATAGAGCAAGAGATTTTTTTAAATATATTTTTTAATATGTAAATATAGATCAGGACACAGACCCATGTTCATGAGAAAATGAAAAAAATAATGAAAATCTTGGCATTTCCAGTCAGATGATGCCCCCAGAGCAATCTCTTATGATTACTACTGGAAACAAGTGTTATATGTTTATCCTTTGTTCCTTGGTAACATATATACAGACATTATTTAGACCCAGGCATAAGAGTTGGGGCTTATGCTGAAAGCTTCAAATATTTGTAGGACTATTAATGCCATATATTGATTACTTGCCCTGTGATTTCATGGCTCTTTTTCTAAATTGCCTTAAAACTGCCTTTAGAATAACCATCATCATTGCAACTTAATTTTTGATATCCTATTTTATAGCTAACATGATGGGTATGGGGTCCAAAGGATGTGAACTTTAAACAGAGAACGAAAGAAAATAGCTACCCTTTTTTGAGCCCTTATTCACTAGGTTCTGTGCTGGTGCTTTTTATACATTTTTATTTAATCCTAATAACCCTATGAGGTAGGGGAATGTTGTCCCAGTTTTACTTATGAAGGGACAATTCGAGGTAGGATAAATGACTTGACAATGGCATGGGAGCTGGCATTTGAATTGAAACCTTGCCAATTCTAAAGCCTCTCGTGCATCCCTAACCAAACAGATTTAGGGACCCCGCTAGCTTCCTATTGCTCAATAGCTGTAGAAATCTGCTTCTCTTTTGGCATATAACACATGTCTTTATTTGGGTTTCAAGATGGTTTGAACAAGAAAATACAGATAAATTGCCTTGCACTTCATCAGATGATTTGAGTCTAATCAATAGTATCCTGAAACTATTAGATGAAATAAAAAAGATTATTTTTTCTGGAATTAGTTGTTCTAGGTGGGGATTCCAATCAGGCTTTATCATCTGAATTTGAAATTGAGAGTAAATTGGTGTTTTCTAGTAGTCGTATCTTAAATGAGGCCACATTTAGTCTTGTGCAATTTGACACGCTGCTCTTCACGCAGCTTTCTGAAGTAGAAAGGACAGACAGGCTCTGAAGTCAGCTTGGGTGGGGCCCAGAGCCCCTCTAGCACATGACAAGGATGTGGACCTCTCTGAACCTCAGTTCCCACAGTCGTGAGACTGGGAAAATGAGTTCTGTTTTACAGAGTTGTAAGGATTCTAGGGAAGGACTCAGTAGGCTCTTACTAATCTCCGTGTCTTAAGTTTATAAATGAGCTGAAGTTCAGTAAGCCACTAACTGGACAAAAGAGGCATATTTAAGCTGAGGATTATGATGTGTCTGAACAAGACCCAGAAAATCATGGTGTGGAGCTCCAGTCTGAGGCAGACGTTTTGGGGAACTACCCATCACCGCTGGAGTTCGCTTCCATTTGTCCCATGCCACACCAATGCTAAAGCCTCCTTCTGGGCCATGGGATTTAGAGATCACACTTGTACCCGGGATCTGTAAACCTGTGTTCAAATTCAACTGCCCAAACGATTTCCCATTGATCCAGGCTGAGAATCGTCTAGTTTGGGATTATACTCCTCGCACAGATTACACGGGGGTTTATGGGTGTCACATGACCTGTCCTGTAGCTCGGCCGCGGCTGCTTTGTCTGTGCGCTGGTAAATAAGCTCTTCTGGCTGTAAAAGAGGAACTAGTTCAGAAATTCTAGAAACCATTTACACTAAATTCGAATTACTATAATCCTTTTCTAATTTTTTTTTTTTAAATTATGGAATCTCAGACATTCAATCAGATAGAGGATGATGTAACCGACGCCAATGAATCTATCACCCACCTTATGCAAAATATCAGAAGTAAATTGTAGGCTGTGCAGTTCCTCGGCTTCATTCCCCTTATCTCTCGTCACAGAAGTAAATACGACCTGAATTTATTTTCTAGTCCTTTCATTCACTGTATGTGGAGTACCTACCATGTGTCAAGTGATGGTGATGCAGCCGTGAATAAAAATCCCTGCCCCCACGGTGTTTTCTTTACGGTCGGTGGAGACGGCAGATGAATGTGTTTATGACCTAACTACAGACGTACATATCCCTCAGCGATGTGCTGTATTGTTTGGCATGTTTTCTAAACTTTACATACTTTATACTGTGAATATTGCAACTCGCTTTTTCTCTTTTAACATTATATTTAGAAATAGTAGCAAAGGTATCTTTAGAGTGCTTACCAAGATTCATTACGAATATAGATTGATTCGTGCCACTACTATAAAATATAAATTATGTCCCATATGTCCCTTGTGCTATTCCAAGTCTTAGGCTATAGCAAACAATGTTCCTATGAAAAATTTTGTATGTATCACCTTGTATACATGGGAGAATTTCTCTAGGGCAGTGTTTATCAAGCCTTCTTTTTTTTTTTAAAGGTTTGATCATAGTAAAATACACGTTTTATATTACACACCCAGCATACACATACATATCTAGCTCTCAAACAAAAGTAGCAGTGAACAATTCTTACTCACACTTACCACCTGCAATCTACTACTGGCCAGGACCCCTCTAAATTAATTTTATGAGCCCCAGTGGACCATGCCAGGCAGTTTGATTTCATGTGTCAATAGCAATCATAAAATTAATTTAGTGAGTTGACACCGGAATTTAAAAAATTACATAGAATATAGTTTGTGATATACTTTTATGGGGCTCCTTTTATCAAGTTTTTTCTTTCACATATATGTGTACTGGTTTGTGACATGATGGTATATTTCTTATTTTGAGTTGGGCTCAATTAAGTTTGAAAAACAAATATTTTAGACAAAATATCTAGGAGTAGAATTAAGGGTGAAAAAATATCTGGCTACCCAGTACAATGACTTAAAATTCTTCACTTTATTTACATTTAATTTTTTAAAAAGAATTATACCTGAACACTGGAAAGGCCAGGGTATGGAAGGCTTCTTGAAAAGAAAGATTTCCATAGCTTGGGCTTGGTAACATCAAAATTTATCCTTAGTGGGGAATCATATCGTTGAATATTAAACCAAATCTAAAAAAGACAAGACGACATTAGTGTGTATAGTGTTAGACACATGTGCGTGCGTGTGTGTGTGTGTGTGTGCGCACGCGCATATGTATGTATGGAGAGGCAGCCAAATGACACGCGGGGTGCACACTTTCTGTCGTATTTTGATCTGTATGACTGGTATGGTATGCGTCTTATAATCACTGGCATCTATTTTACATACAGTTGTCACTGGCCATTTTGTCACATTTTTTACATCTAAAGTTGAGGCGCATCTTAGTACCGATTGTAAATTGATGAAATAATGTAGTTCCGTATGAGAAGGAACTTAATTTTTGTAGGAGAAGACGGACAAGGCTGCGCCTTTCTCGGGCTGGCCTTTGCTCTCCCGCGCTCCCCAGCCTCTAACTGTGGTGCGTGTCCACCTCTCTGCTTCATACCTGTCTCGTTGAGGCAGTCTACCGTACTGGTCTGGAACCAGACCACCTGCATTTGAATCCTGGCTCCAGCATTTACCGTGTGACCTCGGATGATATATTTAACTTCTGGGTGCCTCAGTTTCCTCTTCTATAAAAGCAAGATGATAACGGGACCCACCTCATAAGGTGGTTGAGCAGGTGAAATTACTTAATTCATCTATTCCTTTTAGAACAATGCTTGGTATATAGTGAGTGCTCAATGATCGTTAGCTGTTTTATTACTATTAGTATTTATCCTTGTTTAGAATTGTTTGCCTCAATAGACTGTTAGGTTGTTGTTGCCTCGAGGACGTTCTCCACTGTATCGTTAGCATCTAGCATAGCTCCTGGCTGGCATACACACTAGGCATATCGAATAACTTTTTGCATGAATGGTAAATTTGTGCATTCGACATATATGTCAAGTACCTACTATGTTTAGGCGCAGTTCTATTCACTGGGGAGAAGCAGTCAATGAAATAGAGTTCCCACCCTCATGCAGTAGCTAATGAAAAAACAGTGCCCAAACAAGTAAAAACTCAGGACAGCGATGATATTACACTATGTGGTTGTAAGATTGTATGATTGGCCCCAATTCTTCACTCCTTCTTATACCCCTTTCTTTTTCCATGTTACTTTGCAGTTCCTTCCACTCAAAGGGCGGAGATGTACTCCCCCTGCCCCTTGGCTTCAGGCCAGTAGAACGGGACGGAAGTGTCAGCGTGTGACCTCCGAATCTAAGCTTAAGAGGCTCTGTGTGTTTCTGCTTGTCCTCTTGTGCCCCTGCCATTGTCACTGCCTGCAGTCCCAGAATAAATACACGTGACGCAGAGCCGTCCCAGCCTAGATCAGCAGAGACTTACCAGCTGGCCCGCAGATGCGTGAGCATAAACGTTTGAAGCCATTTCGTGTGGGGATGAGTTTTTTTTTATCTTCATTATGGCAACAGCTAACCATTCAAAAGCTATGGAGAACACTATGCAGGAAGAGATGAAATTTTAGGGTGGAGAGGGAAGTTCTCCCTGGAAAGATGACATCTGATCAGAAATGCATGAAGCGAGGGAGAAATTTATGAGATATCTGGCAAAGGGAGGGGCCATCCGTGCAGAGGAAAGAGCAATGCAGATGCGAAGTGTTCCTGATGCGTTTCAGGAACGGCAAGGAAGACAGAGTGGCTTTAGAGGAAGAAGCCAGTGAGGGCCGGTGAGAACCGGGCGCTGCAGAGGATGGGGGACGGGGAGACAGAAGGCCTGGGCGCGCATTTTGAAGGGTTAGGCTTGGACTCTAGAGCGAGCTAGGAAGCTACGGGAATATTTTAAGTAGAAGAGTGACGTTATTTGCCTTCTGTTTGAACAGGAATATTTTTTGACGTTTTGAGGCCAGACAGAAGGGGCCAGGGGGGCAAGGAGTGGTCTCCCGTCAGGAGGCTATTTCAGATAATCCAGGAGAGAGCTACCGCGGCGTGGTCCAAAATGGTAGCAGTGAAAGTGGCGAGCTGTGGTTGGATCCTGGATATGCTGTGAAGGTAGGATCAATAGGACTGGCTGACGGGTTGCTTGTGGCAGAAAGGGAGAGAGAGGAATCCAAGATGACACCAAGGACTGTGGCTTACGTGACTGGACAGATAGAGTAGCCATTTACCAAGATCAGACAGGCTGCGAAAGGAAATTGGTTCGGCTCCGAGCACGTTAAGTTTGAGGTTATCTATCTGACACCTATGTGAAGGTTTTGAGTAGGTAGTCGGATATGAGAGTCTGAAGTTCTGGGAGCTTGGTGAGCTAGAGATACACATTTGGGTATCGTCAGCATCTATACGTTCCTAAGGAGGAAGGATATATAGAAAAGAAGCTTGACGAACGTTGAGGATCTCTGATTTTTCAGATTTGGAGAGAGAACAAAAAGGTAGCAAAGGACAGAGAAGTGGTAGCCGGTGAGGCAGGAGGCCTTGATACTTGGAACCCAAATCAAGAAATTGTTTTCAGGCGACGAAGTCTTTAAGAACTACAGTTTGGCCGTAGGGTAGGGAATGTGCAGAACAATACTGGGACGCAGTGTTGCAAGAAAACACTGAGGTCAGATTACGTATGGTTTTGAAATGTAGGATGGGAAGTTTACACCTGTACGCGGTGAGGTTCCCCCAATACTTCCTGAACCATAAGCTGAACATTCGGTGTACCGAGCAGTGAGCTTGAGGCGTGATTTAGTGGGATGTTTACAGCAGTGCGGGGTGAAACAGCAATGCCATGACCTGGGGAACAGCGCGGGTAGGAGCTGTCCGATTTCGTATCTGTAAATAGGATTGAAGCAGGAGGGAGGAAGGGAGAGGAAAATCAAGGACAGCTCTGAGGTTTGAATCTCAGTAACTGACGTCTGTAGAAGTCAGAAGCCAGGAGTAGGAGCTGGTTTTGGAGCAAAAGGGAAACGATATGACTTTTGGGTGTGCCAAGTTTAAGATTTTGATAAAGAACCTGGGTATCCAGCCAACAGTTGAAAATCCAGGACCCAAAGAAAGATTCTGGGATAGAATCTTTCTTTGGGTCCTGAATTTTGCGATAGTGATAGAATTATGACTCATCTGCCCGGATAAACTAGATAGAGCTATAATTAATAATAGGTATCGTCCTGCAATAAATCTAAATATAGAATCTTTAGGAACATCTACTTTTAAGGGCTGGGAAGAAGAGCTCGTGAAAGAAACCCAAGGCATTGCAGAGAGATGAGAGTGAAGTTGTCCTTTATCCGTGAGCCAAAGAGGGGCAAGTGTGTTCTCATGAACAGGGGTTAGTCCTGTCATGTGCCATAAAACGGGAGAGTGAGGAATCAGAGTAAACCACTGGATTTGCTTCTCCATTAGCAAGACTGCCGTACGTCTCTGGGTTTAGTTTCTGTAGGATGCTCTGGGAAGAGGAGCTAGATTTTAGTGGGTTCAAGTCTGAGTTTACCGGGAACATGAAAGCCAGGATATAATTGGTATTTGAAGAATTCTGAAGGAAAGAGGAACAACGGTCCTTTAGAGTCGAGCCAGTTAGGAGAAGCATATTTTAGAATCATTGGACTCCGACGATAGAAAAGGAGAGAGAAAACACGACAGGGGCGTTTTGGAACAGTGAGTGCCGCCAGGTCTTGGAGAAGTGGAAAGACAAACGTGGTAGAAAGAGGAGTCTGTTTCTAGGCAGAGTTGTGGAGGGGAGACAGGCACCCGGTCCAGAGGCTGTGGCGGAGCTGGGTGTGGCGGAGCTGGGTGGCTGAGGTTTCAGGGCACCAGGCCAGCGCAGTGAGGGGGAGTCCTCTGCCGAGGATCGTCGCGGCTTAGAGCAGGTATAACCTGGGGCCACCGTCGCCATCTCGTTAGAAGAGGAGAAAAGGGGGTCTCTCTTCCTCCCCGAACTCAGGCTTAATGGGAATTAGTCAGCCACACAGTAATTGCTTTGAGAACTAATACAAATTTTGACAAGAGATTGGAATTCTTTGAAGGCTCTTTCAATGCCTGCTGACTCTGTTTGATTAGTAATGACCTTAAAGATGATTCTCTAAACAGAGATGGTGCCAAGCAGATCATTTATGATTATGATGATGCCTTTAATTAAAAATAATAATTAATGTGAGAATGGTGCTCCACAGTGCTCTTGTCGCACCGATAATTTATAATAGTTGCCATTTGCTGAGTCCCTGTGAAAGACAGGTTCTTCGCTGGGTGCTTCGCATCTATTATCTCTAATTTTATCAGTAACCCTGAAAAGTTGATCAGTGGTCTTCAGAGGCATGAGAAGAAAAGATTAGATCTTCTAATGATTTCTTTTTATGTTTAAGAGTTTTTTTCTGTGTATGTATAATATAAATGGATGCACAAGTAAACATATGAAATTTATAAGCACAGATACATATATCGGGAATGCATGCTCCAGTAATTGTTCTGAAAGGTGCTGACTGATGATTACGAAAACGATCACAGCAACCAGTAAACAGTGACTGTGTGTCAGCTGCTTTACACTATCTCATTTACTTCTCAAGACCACTCTCTAAAGTAACTGGTACTGTCACCTCCGTGTTACCATTGAAGGAACTGAGGCTGGATGAGATGAAGAAACTGTCTTGAGCTCACACAACTAGTAAATGATGAAGTTGGAGTTTAAACTCAGGCAGTCTGACTCCATAACTCGGGTTTGTGACCACTGCTTTATGCAGCTCCTTTCGTAATTTAAATGGTCCCCCAAACTGAGTGTAACCAGAATCACCTGGTGGTACCTGGGAATCTCTCTTAAAAGAAAAAAAACAAACAAACTCAGTCTTCTCAAGTGATAAATTTGCCTCATTTAATTCTCAAAACACTATGAATCAGACTCTGTTTTGGAAGAGATAACTGAGGACCGAGCCAGGACACAAACTCACATCCTCTGAAACTGAATCCCATATTCTGTCTTTAATTTCATTCTGCTGCTCTGCAGGTCAAGTGACTAATTCAACCAGAAATTTTATTTAGGACAGTTCTGCCACTGTGCTTGACACTACGTCTCTTTAACTGGCATATGTATATGTTTATAGGAAAGTTTTTGATACATAAAATATTATTTAAACAAGTAGGTCAGTTAAATAAAAGAAAGCAACAGTCAGCCAACCACGTTTAAGAAGAAATGTTAATACTCACGTTATCAGGACCTATTAAGCAGCCCACACTTTTCAAGGGACAGAATGTATCAAATTGTCCATAAAAATGTCCACTGCAGGGGTTCCATATTAAATAGTGACTCTGCTCCCGGGTGAGCACATAGGCAGTTGGACCCTGAAGGAAAACAGCCATTAAAACAGTTTCCAACTAATGATAAAACTGAGGTCAAAAGCAGTTTGCACAAACAACTCATTCTTTTAGCTGGACCCCTAACTTCTAAAATCCATGGCTAACGGTGAAAATTAGTTTGAAGTTCTAGGTTACGCCGGATTTGAGAAATAAAATGTTTATTTTTGCCAAATTCTTGCATGTATTACCAGGCAGCGTAGTGACCAAGTGGGGACAGTAGTTGTGCTACTCAGCCAGTATATCTTAAGACTGGCTGAAAACTGTTATTAATGGAAATAAGTAGGCACTGCATTTTCTTTGTAGAGTCAGTAAGATTGCCTTTCAGGTATTTAGAAGGTTGATTATGTCTGAACACTACTTCTGTTTCTGATACAGCAACTGATATTCGATACACATTTAGAGTTACGTAAATGCATAGGAGGTAATTTGAAAGGACGCGTACCAAACTCTTAACAGTGATGCTACCTGATGAGGGGATGGGAGGGAGGCTGGAGCCTGTAACACTGGCTTCTTTTTTGACGACGAACATCTATTTTTGTATTGCTCAGTATGATTTCACTTGACACTCACAGCCTTCTAGGGAAAGGCGGGACAAAAATTATTACCCCAGCTTCCTCACAAAGCTGAGTTGTCACATGACTTTCTTAGAGTCACACAGCTCACGAGGTGCGGGTGTTTGAGCCTTACACCCAGGCCTTGTGACTTCCTAGCCCAGCGTTGTCTTCCTTGTACCTGGCTATCTGGAAGTAATGACGGAGAATGAATTACGATTCAGATACGATACTATCTGCCCAGGAGTGACTGTGCTATTTAATTCCTGGAGGATTCTTGGAGCCTCGTAGCCTCTTTTTGAAACACTCTTTGGATCAGCTGCTTCAATCCGCGTTGATTTTTCTAAACTTGTACCTAAAATCACCCCAATTTAGGGATATTTGCAGTGGGCTGGAAAAACAAATCCTAAGTCACTAAGTCTCCAGTCTAATAAAAATAGCAATGATCATATCAAAATACAGCTGCCAACACTCTTTTCTTTGTCTCTGGGTATCTGCCTTGTTCCCTGTCCCAGCCGGGTGAGTAGCAGATGCCTGAGGAATCAGTGGGAGTGGAGGGAGGGGTCTCTGACTCGGCCATGCCCTGATCCCTTTCACTCTTCAGGATGCCCAGCGCTCGATCCCTGAGCAGTCGGAGGTCTCAGTAGCGTGGGCAGGAGGAGGGTCTCACTAAACGAGCAGAGCGAGGCGGGAGCTTTGGGCAGTGAAGGGTTCAGGTTTGTCGAAAGCAATCTCAAGTGCCGTGTAGGTCTCCGTACTCGGGTGCCACTGAAAACCATTTCGTGTCTCATGACTAGTTCTCTCCGCCTACTGGGGAATCTCTGGGGAACGTGTCTTGCAGCTCAAAGGATCATTATGAAAATAAGTCCTGTCTGTGATCTGGAACATGGCGCGACCGTGCCAGACACTCCCATGTTAGAGCCGGCCCACGTGATCTTACCTCGGGAATAGCAGTGCCCATCACGAGCCAGGCCTTTTTACCCAGGGAGAGAAAATAATTACATAGTAATACTGCATGCTCTTCTTCATCTCCTGCCAGGAGATCGAGAAATTGCTGACAAAAAGAAAAATAAAATTATGTTGCATTGACTGATGGCTTCATTCTGGATCGGCTGTACAGAATTTTAAAAAGTCATCATTAAAGTTAATGTCTTAAAGTATAAGACCTTTAAAAAATTTTTCCCCTATATTTGATACTATGTTTAGTTCATTAAAAAAAGAAACACCGCTTTTAATGGACATGGTTTTTTCTCTAACATTGATGACACGGATTTCTAGAATCAGCACTACGGGGTGGGGGAGACACATTTCAAAGTTGTATTTTTCATTTTGAATTTATATCCGACAGCTCACTATGTGCTGACCATTTTTTAAGAATAATTTTTAGAACAGTTTTAAGTTCACAGAAAAGTTGGGAGCGGGGTACAGAGAGTTCCCGCATACTCCGAGTCCTCAGCTCCCCACTATCAACATCCCCCACCAGAGGGACCTTTGTAACAACTGATGAACCTAAACTGACACGTCACACCAGCCAGAGCCCGGAGTTTATGTAAGATGAGGGTTCACTCTTGGTGTCGTATACTCTATGGGTTTTGACAAATAGACGATGACATGTATCCATCATTCTGGTAACACACGGAATATTGTTTACTGTCCTAAAAATCATGTGTGCTCCACCTGTTACATCTCCCCCTACACTGCCCCCCAGCGTGTTTTAGACACATGGCGTTTAATCCTAGACCAAACCTCTGAGGGCGGTTCTCAACGTCCATTTCACAGACGAGGAAGCGGAGGCCCAGAGAGGTGAGGTAATACCCAGAAGTAGCACAGCCAGCCTGGCTCCAGAGCACATGGACTGGTCTATTATTTTGTACATCTTTTATAGATGTCTCCGGGTTGTGGAAATTCTGTCTCTGAAATCATCAATATTGTGTTGCCAAAGTATATTGGAGAACAAAAAATTTAATTTCTTTGGTTTAGAGCTGCCCCTCAAAGGGAGTCGTAGACTACAGTTTAATGTGACTCAAACACAGTGTGACGTGAGCTCCGAAGCAGGATGAATGCCAGTGGTATGTGCGTTTCATCCTGCGGAAGATCCATTTGGAGGTATGTAGGTTCCACGAGAGCAGAGGCCACGTTTGTTTGGCTCATAGCCAGAACTAAGTACAGTGTCTGATACATGGTAGGTGACCAGGAAATACATTCTGAATGAATAATGACATGGCACGCCTTAAGAAGCCCACGCATTAAGGAATGTACAGTTTCTAAATGTCACATAGGGTGTATTTTTGACATTTTAAAATGAATAAAACTGGGATATTGTTAAAGTAATACTGAGAGGATAAAGGAACATTAAGACATCTGAAGTGTTTTCTTTTTCTTTGTGCAAATAATTTTTTTTTTTTCTAACACTTCTGAACTTTGGGCAAGTTGAACCAGAAATTAAAAATACTTCAGAATTTAGCGCATCCTGCTAAACAGATGGCCAGGTAGATTTTTATAATGATTAACGAAGGTTGCAGTTTAAAATTATGCAAGCCATGTAGCTAAAATTCAATGAAGTCAGTTCAAACTAGTAAATGTATGGGAAGAACTGCTCACATCAGATGTGCTCCACAGGTCACAGATGCCAGCAAATGAGACGGTGTCAGGCAAGAAAGGAATCAATGCCACGTATCGAGCCAGCAGTTCCTGTTTAAAGAAGATTAGCATTACAAAATAATTTCTAACAAAATAGAAAGCTGGGTCCTCTACCTCATTTCTTGCAAGCAAGTTTCATACGTCACAAACATTTATGTGTGCAGAATGAAAGGAATGCTCGCCAAGTGCTGTGTTGTATTAATATGAGCTCATTTAAGCTCTCCAAACATCCCATGAGGAAGGTTGCTGTCATCCATCTTTTACAGATGAAGAAACTGGCTCCCGTGTCTCTTTGAATTCATCTTTTTTGTTTGTTTGGTTGGTTGGTTGGTTTTGGACTTCCTTACTCTCTGGTACAACAAGGCTTTCCAGGATCACCTTGTGCCTTCTCCAGTTCAATATTGAAAGCAGCCATTTCTCCAAGCAGCCCTGGTGTCAACAGTATTTAGAAACCCAGGTCAGGGCATCATTGCAGTAATGACTCATAATTTCTAAGGAGGTTGAACACCTTTTCATATGCTTATTGACCTTTCATGTTTTCACTTCTGTGAATTTCTAGGTATTTTGCACATTTTATTATTGATTTATAGATGTTTTTAAAATGGATTCTAGTTACTATTTTTTTGACTGTTATATATGTTGAAAACATCCTCTCCTGATTTGTGGCTTGTCTTTCATTTCCTTTGTGGTATCTTGATAAACCCAAGTTCTCAGTTTTAATATGGTCAAATTTATTGTTTTATTTATAACTTGTGCTTTTTCTCTCTTGTTTAAGAGTCCTTCCTATCTCAGATTATAAAGATGGTTTTCATATTTAATTCCTCAATCTATCTGCAATTGAATGGTGTGAAGTAGGAGCCTATTTTTATTTTTTCCATATATAAAATCAATGATTCCGTTACAATTAAACAAAATGCTTAACTCCGTCACTTTGATTGTGATTATTGGTAAATATTTAGACTATCTCTATTACCTTATTCTGTGCTTTTTATTTCTCGAACTTTTTTTTTTCTCTCTCTCTTTCTTCACCCCATTTCATTATTTTTTTCTCTGCTACTTTGTAAGTTATATTTACTTTTCATATTCTTGTAAGTAGTTATTCTAAAAATATTTAACTTAAACTCTGAAGTTAATAAATATCTTTGCCCTTTTTAAAATACTCTCATCAATCTTGTCTTGACAATATATATTTTTTTTTTCCGGATTTTTGTTCTATCCTGATTTTTCACCCACATTGCTATTATTATTGCTGTGAAGACAATGCTTGTTTAGTTTAATCACAAATCCCTCCCACACACTTTTTTTTTTTTATCTACCATTATGTGTTGCATCTAGAATTTTCTAAGAGCCTTCCTTCCCTCTAAAGTATATTTTAAGAAATTCCTCAAGTGAAAATCTGGTTGTAAATTTTCTCAATGTTTGTGTGAAAGATGGTTTCATTGGATATAAATTACTAGTCTGACGACTGTTTTCTTTCAACCTTTTGAAGATATTATTCCTTGATGGCTTTTTTCCTTTCGTAGCTGAAAAGTTTACTGGTTTAACCATTTTTGTTTGTAGATAATTTGTCTTCTCTCGAGCTATTGCTAAGATCAGCATTATCTTTGTAGATGACTGTGATATGCCTTAATTTTCATTTCTTTGATCTTGCTCAGGATTCACTGGGCTTCTTGAATCAGAGGTTGTTGTCTTTCATCAAATCTTGAACACTCTCAGGTCTTTTCGCCTTTTATGCACAATTTGGTCCTCTTCCCACCATCCTCCATGTCTCCTAATCATTCTGTGTTCTATTTTTTTTTCCTATCTTTGTTTTCTGTACCAAGTAATTTCTTTGCATGTGATTCCAGTTCGCTAATTCTCTCAGTATTTAATTGTATGTAACTTAACTCTGTATTGAGCTATTTAAAGATTTGTTTAAACTATTCGTTTAATTTCTAATTTTATCTGTACAATTTTTTATTTCTACAAGTTTCATGTAGTACTTTTAACAATCTGCCCGCCAATTCCGATGGTCTGTCATTCTCTTGTTATATATTCAAGTACCCAGATTTCTTAAACTTGGTAAACATACTATTTCATGTTCTGAATCTGATAATTCTAATATCTGCAGTCTTTGTGGCCTGATTCCGCAGTTTGTTGTCTCTGCTCTGACCTTCTTCATGCTGACTTATTTCTTCATCGATGCTCTTTTATACGTTCATATTGCTTGGAACTTTTTCTGTGGAATTTTTTTGAGGCTGAATTTAAAGGGCATTCTTCTAGAAGGACTTGGGTTTGTGTCTGACAGATCTAGGGGCATTAACAACACGCAATACTTGTAATTAAGTTTTTAGTTGAAGTTTTGGGGGATCATACAGGTAGTAGAAACTCCACTCCTCTCTGTGAACAAATATAGTTTCGTGATTAGAAATTCCCAGGAAAGATTTTTGTTTTCCCTTCCATCTAGAGTCAAGGCTGAGACAGACAGGATTTTTTTCTGCAAAGTCGAGTATTTCCTAGTTCACCCACCGATGATATTATCCTTCAAGAGTTTTAACTGTAGCTGAGTCTCTGATCCATCCTTGTAGCCTCCTCCAGCCCTGTGTATCCTCCTATTATCCTTCAAGGGTTTTAACTTAGCTGAGTCTCTGATCCATCCTTGTAGCCACCTCCAGCCCTGCGTATTCTCTCCTGTCTCCAGCAGCCTCGTGGGTCACTGAAACCAAGCTGTAGGTGTCAGGAATCGTGAGACCCGCTCCGAGCAAACCCTCACCCTTCTGGAATCCTGCTCTCTTGTTTCCAAATCTTCCGATTTCAGCCATGATTTTAAAAATGTTTTATATATTTTATTCCTCACTGTTAAAATGTGCTCTACTGGGGGAGGTTTTCCGCACATCTACTACACTTGAGAGAATAAATGTCTGTATTATGGTTTTCCATAAAAATTTATTAATAAAAAAAAGAAGTGTGGAACACAAGATCTTTTAAAAACATACTTGTATCTGCAAGTAGATATATCATTACCCTGTTCCTAAATTACTATATTAATGACTTACTAGCAGCAATTACCCCCATACTACCCACTCTCCAAAGACAGTTGTGGGGTATAGTATTCACTGAAGAGCAGCCTGCTTAACATTCGGCTTCTGTTGATGAGAGGCTCTTATGAGTATGGATGGCACTCTGCCTGCAGGGAATGGTGCATGCATTTCTAATGGCCCCGTAGGGATGTGCTGGTGGTGATGGCCTACATGCCGTACATACTTAAATACTGGAAATCGCTTTTGCTCCATTTGAATTCAATAATGCTTATAGCATCAAGTTTAATACTGAATGATTATCTTGATATAGTAGAAAATACATGAGTTCTGATGTCAGAGGCCTAGGTTCAAATCCTAGTGAAATTATTAAGACTATATAATGAAAACATGTTTATATAAGACATTGTAGAGCATTTTCCAAATATTAATTTTCCAGCACCCAATATAATGTCAGGGATACGCTAAGTACTCAGTAATCGTTTGTTGTAAGGATTATTATCCTTTCTGATACCTTCAGACTCCTAAGCCTCATGGCACTAAAAATGTTTTAATCATTCCTTTAATCACCAATGATCTTGATACAGTTACTTTCTTAAATACTATAAAATATGGTAACTAATGTGGCAATATACTGAAATGTTAATGCGCGTTCAGCACCACCCCTGACTGGCTACGAAATACTTACTGCCGTTGCCTGTGGGTTGTCGGGATAAGCGCTCAGGAGCTCCTGAGGAGGGTTTAAAGGCTTCAGGTAACGAGTAATAAAGACGGTCTTCCCGCTCATGTCGATCACTGTCGTGAGGCACTGACGACTCGGAAACTTTAAGGCACATTCAGCTTGAAACTTCTCTGTGGCTTGAAGCAATTTCTCATCTTCCTGAGACTCAAACTTCAAAAAGAAAGACGCCATGGAGTTTATGTATGATCACAGGAGACGCAGCAAAACGCGTTCGGACCCCGTAGTCAACATGAACTACACGTGTGCCTCGGGAAGTGTGACTAATTGGTCTTTACAACATTGTCACGCCTTGGTGTCCCTGAAGTTTATTTAATTATGTTTATAACCTAAAAATTTATAACCTAGATAGATTTATTAAATACTTAAGAGACACTCTACAGGATTGAAAGAAAGTACCTGATTGCTTATTAATGCAAGTGGCCATATAGAAACTATTGGATTAATAAAACAACCTATGAAAATTAAACTATGATGTACTTATTCTGATTGCTGAGACCAAGCAATAGTTTAATACGTATTTTTATGTTGGTTTTACAGGAAGGTGAATGGGTTTATATTCCCTTTGAATACCTATACTGTGATAGCTCCACTGATCAGAAATAATTGTCACAGACACACTGTCTCTGTAAGAAGCAGCTTATGGGTTTTATGGATCTGGAACAAGTGGATGTCACTCCTAGCATGCAGGTGACATCAGACTTATGACTTCTTAGATTCACAGCTAAATAAGCGTCTTCCTGACAAAATGAAATGGGCCAGAAGACAAAGCCGAACATTCTGCATGGAACCGCAGACATCTGCAGTTCATTGCTAAGGGCTCACACACACATTAGGATCCAGCAGCTTTCATAAGGCGGCAGAGAACAAAAGCAGCTTTAAAGCCTATTAACTATTGACTGATGAATGGTAAAACAAAATACTTGGTACCTTTCTAAGCATGTCACTCATCTCTCAGAGGCAAGAAAGAAAAAAGAAAAGAAACAAGAGGAAGACTTTATTAAGAGAAATAATCTATTTTTTAAAAACTTTTTACCAAGACGACGTAAAGTAGGGGATGCCAACATAAGCGTTTCAAGAGTTGCTACGAATTTTTTAGAAAATTCTGTTAGTTAATACCTTTAAAAAATCATATAGAATGGCTCCCTGTGGGGTGATGGTGGAGGGAACACAAATCCGCTAATTCTGGAAGTTGCTGCAAGTGGAAAAACAAGGCCAGGTTTGGGTCCCTGTTATTTTAGGGCGAGGGCTGTTCTTTCCTGAATAATCTGTAGGGGAAGCACTTAGTGGGGTTTCCTGCCACTGCGTGTTCAGGACGTTGGGGGCCTGTCAGTCCATATGCCTTCCCTATTAAAAGACGCCTAAGAATCTGGGTTCTGAGAGGTCTAAGAGAAATGCTTCCTACAGCCACAATGGGGCAGTGAGATGCCACCAAAGGCAGCGAAGGACAGCCTAGGTATCTGGCTTTAAGGAAGGAAGGCTGGGAGACTTGAGAACTCTGTCTCAGAGCTTTGGGGGCTTCTTAACAATTCTGCTATCAGAGGTCAGTGCCCTTGAAGTACGCCAAGTGTCAAGGAGTCTGATTTCATCCTTCCAGCCACGGTCACAGACAAAACAACTGTCGCAGGTTTTGGAAGCTCATCTGCTGACTGCTTTTTCTTCTGTTAAGAATACACAGAAATTACAAAATCATCTTTTGTCTGGGAGCATCTTTCGCTGTCACCATGCTTGTTGGCTTCCTCTTGAGTTTATATATGAGGAAAAACATTCCGAATGCGTTTCCCTTTATGGAAATATTTCAAAATGCATATATTTTAACATGTTTTCTAGAGAACATATGTGTCACAACTTTAGCGACAAAGACTAGCATATAAGATTAATGTGAATTTCAGTAGATTTTTTTCCAATTATCCTCATGTTCTCCGTAAATGCCTTGCAAATGAGAAATAACAGTATTTTCTTCTGTGCACCAAGTATAATACTGAGAAAGAAACAGAGGAATGTGCTCATTAAAAAACCCAAAAAACCTCCATCTGCATTTAATGCCCACGGGCAAAGCGGAGTCAGCATAATTATATATGCGGTAAGGCTTCGTAGTTATCCGTTTGGCCTTACACATGAATGCGAACTTTGAGGAATTTTTATCTGCGTTTCTACGCTGCCTGCTGTATCTCCAGTGCCTAAAATCCACCTGTCACATAGAGGATGCTCAGTAAATGTCTGCTGAACGTATACGATTTAGAGTCAGACAGACCTTTAATGGTGAGCTCTGCCATCTACCGCCTGGGCGAACCTGGATCGGCTGAGCTTCGTTTTCCTCATCTCTGAGCTGGAGACGCGCCTCACGAGACAGCTGGGAGTGTGGAAGGAGGGAGAGCGCGTGTGGCTAACGTCTGACTTAGCGCTCAGGACCGCGTGTGAACTCCGTACGGGGTGGTGGTGATTACTGTGTCAGCTTATGCTAATCAGAGGTCATGACTGGTATTTCTCCCAAGCCCCGTGAGCGCAGTGTCCCTCCCTGCTGCACGAGCATGTCACCCGGACACAGCGCCTCCCGACTACGAAGGATGAGAAACAGACGCTAACAAATGGAGGTTGTGGAAATGCTTCTTTTCTAAAGCAGTTCACAGTTAGAGTTCTTGTGCCCATACTTAGTCGTTTCTGTCCGATGGCGCTGAAATGAATCGAGGTGACCCCTGGAGGTCACCTAGCCCTATAATCCTGTGAAGCGATTCCATACACAACACAGCCAGGGACGTGAGGTCAGATACGGAAATGTATTTTGGCATGCTTGCCAATAAATATCAAGATAAAAGAGCAGTCTGCTTTTCTGGTTTGTCATATTTGCTTTGCTTCCCACCGAGAACATTCTCCTAAAAGCGGAGCGTGTTTGTATTTGTTTTGCTTTGCCTAAGAGCTCAAGTCGACCTAATCATGGGCTCGATGGAAATACAGACCCTCACGGCTGGCCTCTCTCCCTCATTCTGCCCGAACTGAAGGAGGAATAAGTGGACCCTGAAGAGAGGCCGCTCGTGCCTCGCGGTCCGAGCTCACAGACGCGTGGCCCCGCACACATTTCTCACGTTTTTGTCAACGTCGGTGAGATTCCAGTGTGTGTGCAGTTACCTTTTCTCGAACCGACTCCCCGGGAACCAGCTGAGGCTCAATGGTGATGAACAGGGTGATGTAGGAGCCGTCGCTTAGGCTTCGGACGGCGTCGAAACCCCGCTCAAGAATCACACTTCTCTCCTTGCTGTAGCCCAGAAGAACTGGGGGGATGTCTATTTTAAACGTCCCATCAATCTGCAAAGAAAACGCAACTTGGTAAACATCCCGGTCATTTTCCAACAGAAGTTCAAAGGCAGGTGTCAACACCTCGTCCTCTGACCAATTCCACAAAGACTGCCCACCGCGGCATCCGCGGCCCACCCCGGCATCCGCGGCCCACCCTGTCTTTCCAGCTTGGTCTCTCTAAACTCTCACAGAAAGGACTCTGCTTCCTGTTTTCTTTTTTTGATTTGGCAGAGCAAGGACTAGTGATGCAAGTTATCCTGACACTACATTGCCCGGGTTCGAACCCTGGAATGAACTCCAAGTGCCTCGGTTTACGCTTCTCTGAAGACAACAATAGTACCTACTTTGTGGGGTAGTTATATGTGCATCAATAGATGTGAAACACTAAGAAAAATGCCTAAAATGTAGTTACGCGCTCAGTAAGTGCTGGCTGGCAACCAGCCACTTTTCTGGAATGCCCTAGCTTCCCATCTCCACCTTTCAGAATTTAAATGATTTTTTAGGCTCAGGTCAGATGTTTTCACCTTCATGAATTATTCTGTTATCTCCAGCAGCCTCCCATATAGTGTGTTTCTTTCATTTCTTGCACGGACACATGGTACCCGTGTACATATTTATAATTTTCTTCTAGATAACTGCTCTCTGTAAATAGAATCCATATTTCACCCCCTTCTCCTTTCTCCAGTATACAGCAGTGTTTTATATACACAGCAGGTGCTCAATAAATGTGGGCTGAATGGATTACAAGCCACTTGTATAAGATGACCGAACTTATGCAGAGGTTGAAAAAGGCAGGACTTTTAACTTTTGCAAAGTCAGAGCAACAGTACACTTATTAAAGACCATCTAGTGCTATAAAACTATTCAGAGCTGGCGTTTGAGTTCTATACTTCAAATTTTTCTTCTAGTCTTTGGTGGCATTTGTATCTTAGGAGAAATAAGAACTTGAATTCGCAGTGACGATGCCTTCTAGGAAGGAGCTAAGCGAGCGGTTGTTTGTTTTCTCGCTTGCATCGTTGGCGTTCCCCCACGGCCTGCAACCAGCCAGACCAGAGGGTACGAGAGAAGGAGGACAAAAAACAATGCCAGATGAAGCACAGCGAAAATAACAGCACATCTGTGCGGTCAAGTAGACAGGGACACAAGAGGGGACGGGCACCAACTCCAAATATTTAAAGTGTAAAGATTCAAGACAGGGTTTCTCTACCTGGGCACAGTTGTTATTCTGTGCTTTGTAGGGCCGTCCTGTGCTCACAGGCTGTTCACAGCATCCTTGGCCTGAACACACTAGATGCCAGTTGTACACCCCCACTAGCTGTGACAACCAAAAATGTCTCTAGACATTACCAAATGTCCCATGTGGGTGCATTTAAGAGCATGAGCTTTGGAGTCGGACAGAATTTTTAAATGACAGTTGTAATAACACCATTCTCAAAAGCAGTATGGAAATGTATAAGCCCAAAAGTTGAATAGTTCTCTCTCTTTTTACCAATCTCATTTTCCAGGGATAAACAATGTAAGCGTGTTGGAAGTTGGTAAAAGCTGAATCCTCACTCTGTCGTCAGCTTTGGAATTAGAGTAGTTACTTCACTTGTCTAGTCTTCTGTTTCTTCATCGGTAAAATGGGGGTGATAATGCCTATTGGGCTGTCGTGAGGTTTAATTGACTTGACATATAAACTAGTAATGGTATATGATATGCACAAGATAAATATAGTTATTATTACTGAATCAGGATTCTACTGGTTACGTGTAGCTCCAAACTAGGACCTGAGATTGGGAGTTAGGGCGAAGCACGTAGGTTATGGCACAGTTCAAGGACGAAATTTATGGCAGAGCTATTGGAAAGAGAACAAACTGCCTCATGAGGTAGTGAGTTCCCTGTTGTTAGAGGCACTCAAGCAGAACCTAAACTCTCAGTGAACGTGCCTTCTAGGGAGGAATGGACATTACCAGGATATGGTCAAGGAAATTCATTTATCAAGAAGTGGTTTAGAGTAATTTCTTCTGAGTACCCTTCCAAATGTGAAATTTAGCAATGGCAAATAACATGGGCAGTTTCATTTGCAAAACGGTATGCTTAAAAAAAAATTTTTTTTTTTTAATTTAAAATGTTTTCAAAGAGAGAAATAAAAATGATTTTGGCAAGCACATCACTGCAGTGTCACCTGCAGACTGTCCCTTCGTCTAGGGAGGATTGCAATCCCAAAGGGTCTTTGAGATTCCAGCCAATCCAAGCCTCTGAGGCTTGAGCTTTGGTCTTGGCCTTGCTGGAGACTCTGCGATTAGCCACGATCTTGTGTCTCATAGCCTCCTGTTGCCACGGACTTAACACAGGGACGTTAACGCCATTTCAGAATCTTTAACTGTCCCAGAATAGAGGCAGTGCCATTCAAGAGTCGTTAACCTAATGGATCCCCTTAACCAAAATCGGTCCACTGTGAAGACGGGTGTCTTAGCTGAGCAAGTCTCTACTAACCATTCGTCATGTTTGAGACAGCGAGGTCTTTAAACACATTCACGAAATGCGCTTGATTAAATGGGCCGTCAGGTGCCCTGTTTTCCTCACGTGACTTTCCGGCATCTTTCCACTCCACTTTTGTCACTTTGACAAGCTTCCATTTTGTCTCACTTCTCCTTCACTGCGATTTAAATGTTAAAAAAAACTCTCCGACTGGAAGAGTCATACATTGACTACTAACTGCAAGGAAGATGATGTTTTAATAAGCCACGTGAATATGACAGAAGATCAATGGCTTTACATAGCGGTTTTCTCTTTCCTAGGGTGGCTTTGCACACAGGGTCTCTCAGTGTCGATGGTGCATACCCACGAAGAAAGCTTTAACAGGAAGCACGGATGGCGTTCCACATCCCCGTGGAATTCTGACTTTACACGCTTACCCTTGCTTGGGAATATATTGTGCTGAATGGAATTTTCACGCATCCCAACCAGTGCCTCTCGATACGAGTGTGGATTCCGCTTCCTCTTTCCCGGTCGTCCTGGGGGAGGGAGGGGGGACAGTAATCGTTTGACAGCTCCAGACATCCGCTCAATTAATCCGGCCGCAGGAAAACAGCGGGGAGTTTGGCCCAATGTGACAGACCTAAGTCGCACTCTGGTTCAGACACTTAATGGTTCTGTGACCCCCCCAAAATTCTTCACCTCAGTCTCCCCTTAATAAATTGGAGATTTAACAATCTACTTCATAGGGTTACTTTAGAATTAAATAAGACAGAGTATGAAAAGCACCTAGTACAATTCCTGGAGCACAGCAGACACTCGACTGAAAACTAAAAAAGCTCCTTGGCTTTCTCCCTTCTCCCTTTCCCCACTTATATCTGTCAAGTTTCAAACATTTCAAATATGAGAAAGCTGGAAAACGTGTTGGGGACCTGTATAGGGGGTAAAGGATTTGAAAATGAATACAGACATCTTTCCTCAAGACTTACCTCTAAGACATCATACAGAACTTCGTCAAAAATGTTGATGAACACGTCATCTTTCACTGACTGCAAACTGGTCGTGCTGTAGTCCCCGTTAGGGGCCCTGCAGATGGGCACACGTGACCAGAGACCATGAAAATGGGCAAAACAAATAATGAGCACTCAAAGGTCAAAACTGGAAAAGTACTTAAGCCCGAGCATAGGCATGAGGATTAAAAGCCAGGCTTTCCGTTCAAGGACTGATCTTGTGCAGGGAAGGACACGACAACACGGTGCCTGCACCCAGAGGGGACGGGCACCGGGCCGGAGGCCCTGTGTGGAGAGACAGACCCTCTCTCTGCTGGCTGGTCCCGGTGAGTCTCACGTCCGCTTCCACGGTGAGCTGAGCCAGGAGCCGGCAAGCCAGGCTCCTCGGGTGGGCCGCCCACAAGGTCCCCAGCAGCCCGCGTTCTGGGACGCGGACTTCCCATGCAAGTGAGCTCCGAAACAGGCTCCTTCACCAGACCATTCCCGAGTCATAAGCCTCCTATCGTTCTGTGGTTGGTCCAATGCTCTCTGCACCCCACCTGCTTTCCCCATGGGTAAGTAAAGCGAGGCAGGAGTGACGTCCATCTCCGGTGACACAAGGGCACCACGTCCAGCCAGGCTGGGTCCGAGGAGGCTGCCCCCGGCGTGGCTGGCCTCCGGGCTACTGCGTGTATTTTACTGAGCACTCGCCCTCCAATCTCCTCATATAACAGTGGGATCTGCCCTTCTTTTCCGACTAAACTAGTTCTAATCCTTGCTCTGCCTCTAATTTACTATTTTCCTTTAAATAAGTCACCTTCCTTCTTTGGGTTTTAACTTATTTTCTATAAAAGTAGAGTGGTGAACTAGATAATTTCCAAGGTTGCTTCAAGATCTGCAGTGATGAGTCTTAAATATCTATAATCATTTAATCAAAAATTTTAAATGGTGAGAGAAAAGCATCATTTACGGGAACAAGGGAGTTGTAGATTTACTTAAGGCTTCCAGAGTCGGGGAGACAGAGAAGAAAGGAAAAGCAGTGTGGGGGCCACGGGGTGTGGGAAGCGGAGAGCTGGGGCTGTGAGTAGCCAGAGACCGCAGAGGCGCGTGGCGTCCTCCGCGTCCTTCACGTTTCTTCAGAGTGTCCTGTCGTTCTTTACGGAGGGAAATACGCTTACCGAAATGGGAGTTCCAGCTCTTCGTTCCAGCTGGGGTTCGGTCCTTCGGCCGTCGTCGTATGGCAAATCGTTCGTTGGAAAGAAACCTCTACAAAAGGACGCACTAACACCTTAAAATCAAGAGCAGACTGTAAGAGTCCACAGCAGTTGAATCATTTTGCTCCTAGCAGAGGTAGATCACGTTTACTAAATAGTATGTTTCCAAAGAAAACGGAGCAGAAATCAGACTATGACGTTTCTAGGCAGTTCTTAAAAACATAAGGCATCAGATCCTAGGCAGAGATCTAGCGTTTGGGTGTTTCACCTGGCCGAGCGGGTAGTCAGCACTGTGGGTCGGGCTGTGTGTGGTTGGGGAGGCAGCACGCTTTTCGCTGAAAGTCCTTGAAGATCTTGATGGCTGCTGGAATCTGCTAGGAGGGAACATGTATGAAAGAAATAAATGTCAGGGCAAGTCTAATTATATATTCAGCAGATGGTTTTTCCAGAGGCGTATGGCTCTGGTGGCTAGGGTGACAGACATTCTCTCTAAGCTTGTTGACACTTCCGAAGGCTTTTAGTCATCCCAACGATGCTCTGGCCATCCCTAGTCACCTAGTAATTACCAGAACCTCCCCAGCTTCTGTCCCTAGACCCACACGAATGAGTGAGAACAAAGAAGAGCCCTCTCTCCTCTCCTAGGGGGCGCCTGAGGGGGCACATGCCTTTCCCTGCATGAATGAGAGCCTCGGTCCCTCTCAGGTAGCCGAATCCTCAGCTGCCCGACCAGCCTGTCCTGTCTCCATCCGATTCCTTTCCCGCTGTATTTTCTTTGGACCTGCCTTCTCCAGGAACCTTGAGCGACAAATCCCAGGGAAGACGTCTCTCTGGGCCTGAGAAGCTCCACTGGCAAGGGGAGGTCAAGAATTCCTAGCCTGGGTTAGGGTCTATGGGGCTTGTCCTCTTTCTCTTTTAAAGCACTGCTATTCTTAAAAGAATGAAGGTCACCTCCAGAGAGCTCCTCCCAGACACTTTCCGCCTCATCCTAACAATCCACTTGCATGTTTGTTCTGAACTTTACAGTTTCCCGAGTATTTCACATTCATTACTGGACGAAGTGTAAATTATCTCTTTCTACTAGACTGTCTCACCTTTTCACAGATAAGGGTTTCAGATAAACTCTGAGACAGTAAAAGTGCAATATTTAATAACAACTGCCAGAGAAAACCTTTTTCTCTTTGGAACACCATCGATTACATTATTACACAAATATTTGGTAAGTACCTATCCTCCTTTTGGCCCTGTGTCAGACACTGGGGCCACAAAGACACACAAGGCACACTTCAGCTCAGACTAGAATGGATGGTAGACATGTAAACAAATAAGATACTATACTGGGGTACACGTTAGACGAGAGGGATGGGCATGGGCCATTAGGGTACAGCAAGGGAGCTGGAAAATCCTTTTTAGTTGGATGCGAGGGTAAAGGATTATGGTTTGGGCAGGCTTAGTCTAAGAGTTGATTCATGAGTTCTCTTGATGAGTCTACTCTACAATGTGAAACACGTAGGATCCACTATACTTCCTTGTAATTATTTGAATGAAATTGTTTAACAGTTAAAAAAATCAATAAAGACCAAAAGTAAGAGAAACACCTCTACATTCTTTTTTTTTTAAAGACAAATGAACAAACAACTTTTCATCCACGATTGAGCTCAGATGCAGTCAAGGTGCAAGGGTTGGGTTACGGCTCAAAGAAGCAGAGCTGACATGGATGTTTATAAGTAATAAGATTGGGAATAGTCGATGATAATCAGATGCTCTGTAACGGGTGAAAGAATTAGTAAAAAAAAAAAGGGAAAAAATGGGGTGCGAGGAGGGGAAAATAAATTTAAAGGAGAGAACTTGGAGGAAAGAAGATGCAAAGTCTCGACTGGCACTCCCCGGTGAATCAGACAGGGCCGGACGACCTTGGACAAGCCACTCGCCCTCCCTGTACGTCCATTTTCCCTTCAGTGAAGTGTAGATAGTGATAGTAGTGAGAAGTTAATGGAATAGTATATACCTAAGTGCCCCGCATAGTGCCTAGGACGCGGTGAATGCACAATAAGTCATAGCTTCCCTCCTACACTGACCGGCAAGGGCACCAGCCGAAAGAAGTTTTAGTTCTCGGTCCTTCCATCTCTGTTCTCTAAGGGGATAAGAAACTCAGGCTCCCTCGCCTGTGGTCGAGGGGTCCCCATTGCCCCCGGTGCAGTGAAGCGTAGTAGGCATACCTAATTTCTCTGAGCAGATAAAACGGAAGTCACATTTTTATGCCCGTGGCATGTACGTTTCAGAACCTAGGACACAGACGTTTTAGGTTTCTGCCCAGTTCACACCTGCTTCTCTGAGGACGGTTTCCTCCTTTCAGGACAAGTCCTGGTGACCCTCTGTCTCTGGCTACAGGTGGTAAGACCATGGATCAACCCCTGACCCCAAGCAGGACCTTCAAGTTCCCCCCGAGAAGCTGGCACTTGGTGGGTGGGTGGTCCCCTGCCAGGATGCACCCCTTCCGTCACGTGGAGACGAGCGAAGCTGCCCACAGAGAGAAGGGAGCGCGAGAGACAGTGGTGTCTCGGAGGAACTGTCTTCATATCTACAGCCCACCATCCGGTTCGGCTGTGCCCTTGAGTTCTGCGAGATAGTGCAGTGAATCCACTCTGTGGCCTGAATCGACTGAATTGGTTCTGTTACTCACAACCAAGAGGGCATTGGCTTGAGCAAGAACGCCCAAGTCTCACAGGATAACACTAAGTCAGAGCGGGACCGGACAGGCCATGCGAAGGGATCGTGGCCGGGGCCCTGCAGAGTCCACCCAGGGCTGCCCCGGGCTCTCACCTTGCTGTTGGCCTCCGCACCGGGATGTCGTAAGCCCGGATGATGTTCACCAGCAGCTTTATGTCTCCGTCGGACAGGTTTTGGGCTGTCACCTTCTTCCGACCTTTTCTCCTTGGCCTCAGTGGTCGCTTTTGTTCTGCCAGCTTGAAAAGGCTTAAGCCCAAAATGCTAATGATTACAGAACAGGATTAGGACTCAAAGGAAAAGAAAGATCTGGAAAGTCATGAGACAACTTCTCAAACTGTGCCCCAAGGATCCTCACAGGCCCCTGAAAACCCATCTTTCCAAGGAGGGTGGGAAATCATCAAGAAATTCTCCCAAGATGGGAGGGGTCCTCTTGTGTGCACGATTAAACCTTATTTCAGCTGTGGCCGATCGGAGAAAGAGAAGCGTGTTCTGGCCCCTGGCCGGCCCTCCCTGTCTCCTGGACCCTCCGCTTTCGCTCTTGCCAGCTGGGGCACAGGCAGTGCCTCCCTCCGCCTTCCTCCTCAGCCCTCACTCAGTCCGGTGACAGTTTTACCTGCCCTCAGGGCAGAGGCCTGGCCCCCTCAGCCGGAAGGCGCTCCCTCTCCTGAGCCCTCTCCTCTCATGGCAGGTGATGTTCACCCCTTCCCGGTGCTCCCTGGACTACCTCGCCCTCTGGGTGTGCATCCTGGCTCCACTCTTTGGCCTTGGGCAATTTATTTCACCTCTTTAAGTCTCTGTTTCATCATCTGTAAAATGGGGATAATAACAGCACTTCCTGGGCTGTCGAGAGGATTAAGCGAAAAGGTGCGTGCAAAGCGCCCTGTCCCAGGTCTGCTTCCTGGTGTCGAACAGTAACTGTTGGGTGATGACATTGATTATGAGGCCAGTGCTCACGCTGCAGGGAGAGGAGGCGGTGGAGACAGGAGGGTCTTTCTCTCACCTCTCCCCGCCCCCCACTCCACTCTCCATCCCCTAAGGTGATGTCAAATCAACACTTCCTGGAAGATGAAAGCAGCTCGGTCAGTGACTCAGGGGAGAAAAGGCCATGGAGCATATAATTAAATTCTGGCCCAGAGACTAAACAGAAACACAGCCCTGACTTGGTATCTGGAAGCTGAGGTGGCCGACCGTGCCAGACGGCACAGAACGAAGCCAGCTGTGCAGAGCCAGCCTCAGCTGGGTGCTCACGCCTCTGCTTCCCTTGTGGGGTCGGACGGCCCGGTGGCCTGTGTGACTGCAGCCCTCTCTCCAAAGGGCCTGTGCCACCCGAGGAGACGACATGGCACGACAGCTCCCGCGGGGCTCCTGGGAGCCACCGTTCCCATGTGTCCCCAGGGTCTTCTTTCCCCCACAGCACAGAACAGTGACCATTTGTCAGCACCTCTGTGAATCAAACAGCGTGGTAGGTGTCCTGCATATAATATTTCTAGTCCTTACAAGGATAAAGTTTACCCCGTTTTGCATACGAAGAAACCACAGGCTCTGAGAGGTGATGCGATTTGCTGAAGGCTCCTAAGTGGGAGGAGGGGGCCCAGGGTTCAAGCTCAGATCATTCTGACTGCAGGGCCCTTCTTCTTCTTCGTAGAATCTATTTACATATACTTTATGAACTCTTTTAAAACAAGAATAAGCCCGGGGCATGCTAACATCCTGTAAAACTGAAAAATAACTCTCCTTTCCAAAACAAAAAAAGACTGAGAGGGTGACATCGTTTTGCATTTCTGCAGATCTCTTTGTGTGCGTGTGTGATTTATTATCTACATTTTATTATTTTCATGATTTAAATTGATTTTTATTGAGATATAATTGACATAACATTGTGCAAATTTAAGATGCACGTGTTGGTTTGTAATATTTATATATTGTAATATGATTACCATCATGATATTAGCTGGTACTACTGTCTCTTTACATAATTGTTTCTTTTTCATGATGAGAACAATTAAGATCTACTCTCTTAGTCACTCTGAAGTTTATAAGACAGACTTGTTGACTATATCACTATGCTTTCATGAGATTATCAGGACTTACTTATGTATTAGTTGCAAATTTGTACCCTTAAATAACATCTCCCCAATTTCCCCACCTCCCCCCAGCCTCTGGTGACCACCATTCTACTTTCTGTTTCTATGAGTTTGGCACTTTTAGATTCCACATATGAGTGAGATCGTATGGCATTTATCTTTTTCTGACTTATTTCACTTAGCACAATGCCCTCGAGATCCATCTATGTTGTCACAAACTACAGCCCATCTGCATCATCGCTCTGCCAGGACACATACCTAACCCACACCTGGGGACCTCAGAGAGACTCCTTTGCCAGGGGGCCATACCACTGCACGTCCTTTCCTTTGTCAATGCGTCCTCCCTCCCCCAGAGCTGGCTCCTCATAAGACTTTGCTGCCCTCCTAGTGGTCAGCTTGGGGACATTTTAGTGGTTAGGACCATTAAATACAGAAACGTCTTAGTTTAAAGTCAAGAACAAATTGAAATTAAAAGAAGAAAGAACATACCCCGAGCCTTCAGAACTTAATGCAGAAAGTAAAGCGGAAAAAAGAAAAAGAAAGAAAAGAAATGGAAAAACAGTATGAAAAATCACCATCTATTCTAAGTGTAATTTTCATGACTGAAAAAAACATTCAATGACTGGGTTCTGGGCCTGAAGCAAAGAGAAGGTTTGCATGAACTCATGTGGGCACAGCCTCTCTTCCGTACGTGAATGGAGGCAAAGCCAAAGATCGGGGCCGACACAGCTCAATTTTTTGTTTCCTTTCCATCTCGATGGTGGAGAGGAAACGCATGTATAAGAAATAACATATGTTTTCTGGGACCAAGAGATTTAATCACAGAAAGGGACATGAGATGAATGGACTGCACACAAGACCACCATATAGAAAGTTATCTATTATCTTTTATGCATCCACCCCGAATTGAGACAATTTGAAGATGATTCTAAATGACAGGGAGACAATCGAGCAAATATAGTCAATTTGCAACGTCTGTGTAAACATCTGTTTCTCCCGGCTGCTCTTGCTGCTCACCTAACACAGCAGCTCTCTGCCTCCTAGCTGTGCTGGAAGCTGGCCGCCCCCTGCCGCCCAGAACCTCAGCGGGCTAACTGGCAGCCACCCCTGCTGCCCGTGACAGGAGAGTCGGCGGGAAGTCCGGCACCGGGAGATGTGGCAGGGGAACGCCGTCACACTGAGTTGGGTCGGAACGAGGGCCTGGCGAAGGCTGGTGACGGTGACTTGGCGGTGGAGGGAGGTGAGATGGGGTCTTCTGGGACGTGACGGAGAGGACCAAGTGTGACTTGTTCTCCTAGAGACCCCCTTAACTAATGGAATCGCTAGGCACTGATTAAGTTCGACCAGTTTCCAGCATTATTTGGGGCTCAGCTGCATACCATACAATGATAAAAATCTTATATTTACATGAGATTTGGAATAGAATGCAATACAAATAATTTCTATCGGAAATAACAAAAGGTTTGTTTCTTACCTGATATTGGGAACTTCTTCTTCGACTATCAAATCCGTAAGAAGAAAATGGTGTTTCGCAATTAAGAAACGATTTATCACTGATTCTCTAACCTGAGGGAAGGAAGAAGTTTCATTTAGAATCGTGTTCCGTGAACTTCGTCGTTCACTCCCTACACTTCTTCGTGTCCTCACCCCCACATCACCTTAGTTCAGCCCCTACCCGGCCCACCTTCGCTTTTCCCTGTGTCCCTGACCTCTACTGTCGCACGGCCAGCTGTGCTCACCGGGCAAGCTCCAAAGGCCGCTGTTTTGTTCACTGCTGTATTCTCAGGGCCTGGGAGAGTCCCTGACATACAGTCAAATTTTGCTGAATGAATGAATGAGTAAACGAAAAGCAGGCCCAGCCTCGAAGCACACATAATTCAGAAGGGATTCTTAAGTTCTTTCCCTCTTCAGACTGGTTTACTTCCTGATTATTCTCTAAATGGAGGGCCTCTTAAATGCTGTCATTGGGGTTTTACACATTAGGCACCAGGTAGATCAATTGGATGAGAAAAAGGTACTGTAGTCACTGTAGCATTTCTTATAAGTTAAATCTATTAAAGAAAAGGAAGAAGGAAGGAAGGAAGAAGGAAGGAAGGGAGGAAGGAAGGAAGGAAAGAAGGGAGGAAGGAAGGAAGGAAGGGAGGAAGGAGGGAAGGAGGAAGCGTGGACAAAAGGACATTCCACTTTCTAGTGTATCAGAGCAGTTAGTATGGTTTAGAAAACTTTTTCATTACAAAGGTAATACTATGCAAACATTCAAATAGGAAAATCATGCCTTGGAAATCGAGTCCCTCGTAATCATACCCCACTTAAGATAACCACTGAAAATACACTGAGACACATCCTAGTGCCTTCATAGGTTCAAAAGACAAAGATAGCTATTAATCAATTTCATGTGTGTAATTATGAAAAAATAAGTCTACAGGAGTTGATCATCACACAGAAATTTAAAAGAAACAAGACCTCCCACCTCCCTTCTTAGGATGCTGGCTATTTTCCCTCCGAGGACTGTATAAAATAATTCTCCTTACCTGCTGGAGGTACTTGGCTACTGTGGCCCTATGGGTATCTATGTGCTCCTTGGTTTCAATTACGTTTCTGTCTCGTAACCGTTTCTCATAGTCCTGAAATTAAAAAGGAATAATTTTACGATTTTCAAGTACTAGTGCTCTCTCATGCCTTTCTTGAGATGAAAGAATTGATCGCACGTGCTTTAAGTCATAAATTATGGTTCTAAATGTTTCCTCCAACTTCCTCTGAACTTTTGGTTCAGAATTGATCTTGGACGCCGTGTCTACGATTTGGAGTCAGCTGGCAGACTGCCGTGTGGGTAGTAGAGAAATCTGTAATTACAGTTTGAAATGTTCATGTGGGAAGACACGGAGGCCTCACATATAACATTTGCTGTACTTCAAGATGCTAAGCTCATCCAAGCAACTCGGCCAAGGGCTTTGCCTAATTTTTGCCTTTTCTATATTAAGTAAAACAGGTACAAAATAGCAAATAGCATCTGCGTGCGGCTGACTTGGTCACCAACTTGTAGGAAAGTAGCGGGTATTTTCGCTTTGTCTGCTTAGGCCACTGCATTTTCTTCTCTTTTTCCGTGAACTAGATTCCGTGTGGGCCCCAGAAACTGCCATGTTCTCCTTTAGTTCTCTGGTCACATTAGGGCCCAGGAGGGACCCTAACCCAGGCCGTATAACTCCAGAGCTGGTGCCAAGATTTTTAGACTTGGGACAAGAGGACATATCTCTCCCTCCTGGATGAGGCCAAGTAGAGAAAATGTGCTGCAGTAGAGAAAACGAGGCCACCACAGCAAGGGGAGCCCGGACCGGACGGAGGAAGGTCCCAGCAGCATTCAGGCCCTGGACCCAGCTGCCTTGAGGCTCGGATGAACTCCTGACATTCATGTGTCTTTAGGTATTTAACCCCATTTGGGGATTTCATCATCCAATAAACTCCCCTTGGTGCCTGAGCTAGTTCAAATTGAGTTTTATCGCTTACAATCAATCACAAGTCCAAATGATACAAAGAACCAAGTAACCAAAAATATTCTCCAAGAATAGCTTCTGCATGAAAATTCATACTGGTACTTATTTCTAATGGATCTCCATTTACCTCGTCAAACGCAGACTCACCTGTCTAGGTTGACTGGCCTGCCTTACCTACACAGGACTGTAACTTGTAATTCCTCAAAGCTTCTGCCCCACGCCCCTCAGATCCCTCCTCACCCGCCTGGCCTCTGTGCATCCTGCCCAGCCCTGTTCCCCACTTCCTCCTACCCACCCACCCCAAGGCCGCTCAAACCCCACCCGTCAGTCTTCTCGTTAGCACAGACTGCGTTTGGTGCTTAGCAAATACTTATTGGATTAAAATAGAATTGGATTCCTAAGCCAGGATAATTTGCCATGTTAACACTTAAGATATTTTTCCGCCTACGGTTCTACTTTTTCTTAGTGTTTGTGTCATTCGTCACACTGTGACGAAGAGATTATCTGAACACTGCACTCAAGAAAAATGCTGGAAAGGTTATGAAAAGTGCTACAGAAGAGACACCAACACCGCTGAGCACATAACACCTTCGACCGCAGAATTCCCATGGACTAGTACGCCAGCTAGCACAGCCGCTATCCGATTACTGCCTCTACAGACATTTCTTACCTGGAACACCTTTTCCATAATTTCTCGGTCGTATGCTGGAACCTGCTTATAGTTTCGGAATTCTGGCACCTCTTGGCTTCTGAGATGAAGAAGCCTGAATCGTTTGGATCGATTTAATTCCTCATCTGAAACGAAGTTAAATTCCTGTTGCAGCTGTTCCAGTCGAAAGAAATCAGGGACATAGGATTCGCCACTGGTAGCGACCTATCAACAAAAAGAAAATACAAAACTCTAAACGACAGGCAGATTTCATCCAAGGAAACCCGGCCCTGCGCTTTTGGGAGTGGACGCGTTAACAGTTTTCGATGGAGAGACTTGTCCCAGATTTAATTCAAAGACAAAGTACATTATAATAGCAACAAGGCAGGTGCTATCATATTTATTTAGTAGCTATAAAAAAGTAACGAATCATTTTTCCAAAGAAATAAACACTATAAGTTTCATTTTTGGTATGCATGTTTCCCATTTTTGGTATGCATAATTCCCTAGGTATTATGAAAATATACAGACTGAAAAATGAGAGACTTATATCAGTATATTGGGGGAATTTTAATTTTAATTTAATTAGGTGCTTACTGCAAATGAGATTACTCGGATGCACAGTATATATAATATCTATGTGTTTTAAATATATTTAAACATAATTTATAGTATAACCTTTTACTATATTTATGCACATATGTAGATAAGGGCCCTAGAGTCAGCTGATCAGCTTCACTAGCTCCATGGCCAAGTCCTCTTAATTCTAAACAGCACTTCATGGCCTTGGTCAGTGAGAAAAATGAGCCAGAGATGGACCAGGCGCCAGTCTCCCATGTCCCGTACACTGGCACAGGAAAGAAAGCTTCAGTACCACTGAGAGGCTGAGCAGGGATGGACTGCACTCTGCCCAGGTGTCTGCCAGCTCCTATGCAGGGTGTTCTGCCGGCTGTGACCTCCTCCTGGGCAGAAGGAAGCCAGGAGCAGAGATTCTTAGGGCTTTGTGTGGGGAAAGGTGACCCTACTTTGAAAATCCTGGCTCAAAGAGAGACCAGTCGGGAAGGCGATCCCTGTGCTGTCCTTCTGTGGGAAGGCAAATGTTACACATGAAAAATGGAGGTGCCACATACACTATGGACCTGTTGGCTTAAAGATAATGGAAGTGTGATTTGAAAACTTTCCATGGACTAGACTACACTTTAAGTAATATGACTCATTCTCTCTGGTATTTCTCTTATCTACACTGAAAGCATCGTGTTGGAAGGAGAGTTTATACATACAAAAGTCAGACTTTTGCTTTAGTACTTACCTTAGAAAGACCAGGGGAGAAATGGAAATTTTCATCTGAGTTACAGTTACCTTTCTGATGAACTTATACGAATAAACACAATCATGGAATGTGTTGCTCTGGTCACTTTCTGGCTCATCTACTTGTTTATTATGTTTTTGTGGGAATTATAATCTTGGGAGCAAAATCATTTGTATTTGATACCGAGAGAAATCATTTACTGACTAATGATCCATTTTATTTATAAATTCACCAAAGAAAGAATTTTGAATGTTATGATAGATACAATCAACTTATCTCATAAATATTTAAATGAAAACCAAATGATAATGAAATTAATCGTCAAACGAGAAAACAAACAAAATCAGCATTTCTTAAAATTCCCCTATCGGTCTGTCAAAGAGTGATGGAGAGGGCACATACTCTGAAATCGGATGAACTTGGATCTGAGTCTTTACCAGCTATATGACCTTGAGCAAGTACCTCTGTGTGTCTGAACTCAATCTCCTCTCTGTAGAAGGGGCAAAATAAAACCTCTCTTTAGGGTTTTTACAGAGGTTTGAGGTAAGAGTAACAACAACAGCATACTTATTGCACACTGATCGTGTGCCCAGCAAAGTGTTGATATGCCGTGGCTCATTTCTCATAACCACACTGTGAGGGCATCTCAGGGCTTAGAAGCATGAGTGCCTGCCTTGATCACATAGCCAGGCAGGTGCAGAGCTGGAATTTAAGCTTTTCATTCACTCAGCACTCATGCTCTTAAGCTCTATAGAACATAGAGGGAAAGAAAAAGGACTATAGAACATAGAGGGCTGGACCATGTCCATTATTATTACACCGAGTCAAGAACTAGTGCATGTGCCACGTTACCGAGATCAGCTGCATCAGAGGGGCGTTGTTGGGGTCATTCGGATCGAGCTTGGACTCCGCTGCCCATTTGGCCAACTTTTTCATGTCCATCAGTCCTGATGTGCCAATAGATGAGATGGCATCTGCTCTTTTCAAAGCGCTGAAAATAAAAGGTTCATTCCATGAGACAGGCTTTACCACGGAGCAGTCTGGGTCAGGACCACGAAACCCCCAGACGCGTTGTTTAAGGGAGCTGTTACTCTCCCTGAGAGAAAATCTGATTATTAGGAAAGTCTTCTGCCATTTTTCTTTACTGGACGACTGCTATTCAATATGTTAGAAGAACAGTAAAAGGGTATAAATGGTGGGGGAACACAGTTGCAAACCACACGTCTGATAAGGGGTTGACATCTAAAATATGTAGGAAACTCATATAACTCCATAGCAAAAAAAACCAAAAAAATAAAAAAAACCCAAATAATTAAAAAATGAACAAAGGAACTAAGACATTTTTTCAAAGAAGATATGCAAACGGTCAACAGATACATGAAAAAGTGCTCAACGCACCTAACCATCAGGGAAATGCAAATCTAAACCATGATGCTGTATCACCTCACCCCCGTTAGGATGACTACTATCAAAAAGAGAGGACGCGGAGACAGGGGACGCTTCTGCTCTGTCAGTGCTGCCACTGAGGGGAACAGTATTTAGGTTCCTCAAAAAAAATTAAAAGTAGAACTATCATATGATCCAGCCATCCCACTTCTGGGCATATGTTCGAAGGAAATGAAATCGCTATCTCAAACTGGTATCTGCACCCCCATGTTCACTGCAGCACTATTTACAATAGCCAAGGTACGGAAACAATCTACGTGTCCACTGACAGATGAACGGATAAGGAAGCTGTAGTGTATTCATAAAGGGAATACCTCTCAGCCTCCTATTTGTGACGACATGCATGAACCTTGAGGGCTTTATGCTGAGTGAAATAAGTCCAACGGGAAGACAAACACTGTACGATCTCACTTATATGTGGAATCTCAAAAAATTAAATTTATAGAAAGAGAGGCTAGATTGGTGGTTGCCAGAGGCAGGGGGTGGGGGCGATGGGTGCAGGCGGTCAAGGGCACAAACTTCTGGTAGTGAGATCAGTAAGTCCTGGGAACGTGATGGACAGCATGGTTTCTGTAGTTAGCAATACCGTGTTGTATATTTGAAAGTTGCTAAGAGATTTATAGAAAGAGAGGCTAGATTGGTGGTTGCCAGAGGCAGGGGGTGGGGGCGATGGGTGCAGGCGGTCAAGGGCACAAACTTCTGGTAGTGAGATCAGTAAGTCCTGGGAACGTGATGGACAGCATGGTTACTGTAGTTAGCAATACCATGTTGTATATTTGAAAGTTGCTAAGAGAATAAATCTTAAAAGTTCTCATCACAAGGGAAAAAACTATAACTATGTGTCATGATGGATGTCAACTAGACTTATTGTGGTGATCATTTGACAATATATACATATGTCAAATCATTATGTTGTACACTTGAAACTTTATACAATGCGATATGTCAGTTATGTCTCAATAAAACTGGAAAAATAAAAGAAGTACAAATGGAAGGACTACAAATGCGACCCGTTTGGACGATTGCCCAGTGCACGGTGCATGTGAGTGTCCCCGAGTCCCTGGGTCCAGGCCAGTGAGGAGCCTCTGCATCTGGTGCAGGACGCCTGAAAGGCTCACAGTCAGGCCACTGGGGAACCACGCATGGCTGACGCTAAAACGAGAGAACATAAACATGCAACTCGCGTAAGCATCAGCTCCGGCCGCGACGGCACTCCGCGGAGGCCGGGGCTGTCAGCATGGTTGAGTTGGGGGGGTTTTGACAGAGCTGCATTTCTGATCACTTGTGCCGTATGTTACTGCCTTTCCTGATTAGAGCTTTAATCCCCAGGAAATTTCTCGAGCATAAAATTCAATGAAACGAATGCAAAACGCTCAGAGGAAGTGGCGGCCAGTCCCTTGGCCGAGCTGCTGCCTTTATCCCAGGGACGTAGGGCTTGTGTCGGGATGGAGAGGGCACGCAGGGAAGAAAGCAGCCCGTTCTGTTCCTCCTCGTGTTGAAAATGATACTCGGCTGCTTGGGAAGTGTCTCCTTGATGATCAGAGTAAGTTTATCTTATAAACGAGGCACCCGAGGCCCGGGATGGTAAAATGATGGGCTCGAGACACATCTCTTGAAGAATGACAGAGATGTGGCCCGCACCCAGCTGCCCGGACAGGCATCAACCACAGAGAGTGGGCTTGCTGGGGTCTCTTTCTTCTGTTTTGAGTAGAAACCTAAGCATCTGGGAATCAAGGAAGAAGGCTGAGTATAGGATCTTTCATGTATCCAGAAGGTTCTACACCAATCATCACTAGCAATGAACCTTTACTCAGAGCCAAACATCTACTACGAAGGGCCACATCCCTCCATCTGTAAAACAGGAAGAAGAGTAGTCACAGAGTTTCTGCCAAGAGTAAACAAGAAAAAGCACTTTTTTCTGTATCTTACACTGATAAAGACCAAATATATTTGTTAGGCTATTCATATTTTAACTTTTGCCTTAAGAACAATAAAAACCCCTGAAAATACTGGCACAGGACAATAACAGGGAAGAATGTGATTCGCACGCTGTCCCCCCGGCCATCATGAAAGCCAGCATGAGCGTGGCTCAGCGGCGAATTCCAGCCACACACGTTACCTCCTGAATCCGGTGTTCTGCTGGGACAATGGAGGAATTAAAGGTATTCCGTTTTCTCCGACGGCCCAGGCCACGCTGTTGGACACCTTCCCCGAGGTCATCAGAATCAGCTGATTACTACCGTCAGCTTCAAAGGAGAAGGGCACTCCTGGGGACACAGCAGACCAGACAGGGTGTCGTTCAGACAGGAAGCAAGCCCCGTCGGGCCTGGTGAGAAGGCAGACAGCAGGCAATGCAAGGGAAGGATGCTGGTGGCGGGGGTGGGACCTGTCATCCAGCATCACCGGCCTCCAGGTGACGAGGCTCGAGGTCGGCCGCGTGGCTCTGTCTCTGACAGCTGAGTGTAGACGTTCCCATGAACGGTGCCTTAAGGTTAAGGGGAGTGGGACCATCTGTGTGCCTACTTAGCAGCTGTGTGACCACAGGCGGGCAACTCCTCTGAGCCTTAGCCTCCTAATGTCTGCAATAAGGAGAATAATAGTATCTCCCTCAAGGGATTATTGTAGAGCCATTCATTTATTCATTCACTCAGTAGGCGCTTATTTGAGCTCTGACTCCGTGCCAAGCACTGCCGTAGCAGTAAAGAAAACAAAAGGATACAAATCCCTGTTCTCATGGAGCTTACATTCCAGGAGGAGAGACAGGCAGTAAGTAAGCCTGATAAGACAAACGCGTAGCTGGTTAGAGAGTGACGTGTGAGAGAGAAACATTCATTAGGGAAGGTACACAGAAAAAGCGTGTTTTGGCGGGTGGGGAGGGGTTGAACCAGATGCGGTGGCCGGGGAGGCTCCATGACAGGGGACTTTAGATCAAGGCCTGAAGAAAGTGAGGAATGAGACATGCAGAAATCCTGGAAGGAGTATCCTTGGCAGAGACAACAGGGTGAGCACCCTAAGATGGGAGGATGCTGTGGTGGGGAGCAGTGAGATAGAGGAGGTGGTGCCTGCAAAGAGCTTAGACCACTCAACGGAGCTAGCTAGCGCTAAGCGAGGTGGCAGCGATGAGGCCTCACTGACTTGGCCCCCGCCGATGGGAAATTACTGGTAAAAAGTCTCTAGTTGGTGTGTTTAATTCACTAAAGGAAGAAGAGATTTTCAAGCACTAAATATATCAACTTCATGATCCGGATTTCCAGTTAATATCAACACAAACCAATACCGCTATCATACTGTAATAGCATCTTTGTGTTTTTCAAAGACCTTTCGTATGTTTTAAACGTTCCATCTTGATCTTCAAAATAACCCTCTAAGGCACCGAAGGAGGTCGGATTAGAACCATTCTATGAATGAAGGAGACGATATTCAAAGAGGTGACATAAACTAGGGTCACACAGCTTGTTGGTACCAGAGGTGGAACCAAAGCCCAGCTCTTCAAACTTTTAGACTGGTAATTGGATCTGGGCCTCAAAGAATTCTTGCAGAGAAATCTCCAGATATGACCTCACAATAATAAAATCACCTGACACATAAGAAAACAACCCATCATGGCAACAGAATCAGACCAATAAGCAGATAGGTATTAGAATGATCAGATACAGAATGTTAAAAATATTTTTAATGTTTAAAAAAATGAACAAAGTAAAGAATGAATAAAAAAATGACTGAGTCTAAGAAGAGGACAAAAAATTTGTCACAGCTGACCAGACTGTTTGGAAAAGAACTAAATAGAATATCTAGAAGTGAAAAGTATGTATCACTTCTTAGCCTTTTGACTAAGATTAAGTAGAGAGGTGAAAAGTACGATAACTGAGATGAGAAACACAATGATGAGTTTCAGTGATTAGGCACAGCCGGAGAGTGAATTCGTGACTTAGAAGACAGATTAAAAAAATTACACAGAATATAACAGTGAAAGAAAAAGATACCAATTATAAGAAACATAGTAGAAAGAGTAAATTTCCCCATCGTATATCTAACCAGAATTGTACAAAGAGCTAAGAGAGAGAATGTTAATTAACAGTCTCCCATTATAGTTATTTAAGTTATTTCAAACTTTTCAGCCTTAAAATAACACCATGATATAATTTTTTTAAATGCACAGTTTGTCTTCATTTTATTTTCTTAGGAAAGATGCCTAGAAGTAAAATTAAGGTGTCAAAGGCATTCTGAGAGTGAGATGGATTTCCTGGCCATCAATAGTACATAAAAAGTGACTTGGCAAAAAATTATTGTTATGGTTTTAATTTGAATTTCTGATAGCAATTTTATAATGATCTGGTTGAGAAGTGAGGGAGAAAAATGCATTCAAATCCAACAGTGAAACTGTGAGCCATTGAGGAGAGTTAGCTTTCCATACCACTTCCAACTCCCTCGTGGTCCAGGGTCACATGCTGGTCACTGCTAAACTCCACCTCTTCAATGGGAGCCCTTCCACTGACAACGGTCGTTTCAGGAATAGGCAGAAACACTTCTGCCAGCAAGGTGGTACCGCTGTGTCCAACTGTCTCATACACCTGAAGTCAAGGAAGAGAAACAGCCAGATAAAAACAGCAATAGTGTATGCCACTTATGATACTTAGTCCACTTATCTGTTCTGGTCAATTGTTCCCGCCCAGGGCGCCCACCTCCTAGTGGAAAGCCACATCCCAACAAGTGTCAAGTTACCTTCAGAGTCTCAGCAAATTACTGTAAGACTTCGTTTGAATCAGGATCCAAATTATTCCATACGTTGCGATTGATCGATATGTCCCTCATGCCTCTACTAATTTATAGGTGACTCCCCTTTTTCTAAACACTTTTACTTTTTTCTATACTTTTTCCTATATTTATATTGGTTCAGAACTCTAATGGAAAAAGGAGGGCCATTTATTGCTTGTCCCGACCTCTCCTAAGAGCCCACAGTTTTATAATCTTACACAGCTTTAAAACACGTGTAGCAGATTATTGCTCTCTGCACAGTGGACCTTGATTTGCCCTGTTCGGCATGGAGTTTCAGCCTGAGAACATGCTGCGCTTTCTTTCCTTCTCTTTCCATGAAGCTCACTCAAGGCTCTAAGGCTGTTATCTTGTCTAATCTTTTACCACATTCCTATGAAGAATGGTTCGCGACAAAGATTCGGCACGATGACAGACCCGGCAATTCGAATGATGGATTTGAGGCTCATAGCGGGGAAAGTCACCCATCTGGTAAGTTGCAAAGCTGGGAACTGAATCTACAACGGTTTCATCCAAACACTCATATGCTTTTTGTTATGTCTTCCTCATGGACCAGGGAAAATCAGAAAAGCGATTAAAAAATTAAGAATCCTTTTAAAGCCATCAGCATGATTCATCAAATATAATTCGTTTGGACAAATTGGTGAGAAATATGACTAAAATAGAATTCCACATCTGAATGAAAAAATAAAAAATGGAAATGTAAAAACAATGGCTATAATCAAGGCTTAATTAAGGGATCGCTTAGCATATGTAATTGTAATCAAAAGACCACTGATTGGATAAAGAAGATGTGGTATATATATAATGGAATATTACTCAGCCATAAGAAAAGATGAAAAACTGCCATTTGCGACAACAGAGATGAATCTTGAGACAGTCATGCTAAGTGTGAAAATAAGTCAGACGAAAAGTTGAGAATCATATGATTTCACTCATATGTGAGATATAAAACTGAAAGCAACACACGAACAAGACAAATAAAAACTCATAGACGCAGACAACAGTTTGGTGGTACCAGAGGGAAAGGGGGATGTAGAAAAGGGTAAAGGGGGCCCAATGTGTGGTGATAGAAAGAGATTTGACTTTGGATAGTGGACACGAAATGCAAGATACAGATGATATATTATTCAGTTGTACACTTGAAGCCTATATAATTTTATTAACCAAGGTCACTGCAAAACATTTAATAAAAAGAAAAAGAATATTAGAAGACCACTGAGCTCTTCCTGTCTCAGACCTCTCGGTTTCCCAGATCTCCCAAGGGAGTGTTGTCTGGGTGAGTCGGGGGTGCATTATTCATTTCACTGCAGGTATAGCCGCACTGTCTACCAGACTCACTATGTGCCACCGCTGCACCCTGAGGTCTCCCCAGAGGAACAGTTCTCTCTTCTACCAAAATTCCTTGTTCATGCATCATTTGTCTCACTGGGTGGTGAGATTCCTGAGGGTAGGGATCTCGCTTGATTTCCCTTTGAATGCACAGGACCTGCACCTGTGAACTAAAGCATTTAGAAAGGAGCATGTTAACTCTTAATAAACACTGAGATGGTAAATCCGAGAATGGTATTGTTCTCTTCTCTGAGCAGCTGGTAGACCTGGGTGTAGTGTGGTTCTCAGATTTTTTCACCTATCTTATATTACCCCGCATCTGCCTGTCAGCTCTTCCCACAGTCTGCAGAGGGCAGTGTGGTGAACAGGACAGGGAAGCCTTGTGGTCCAGACAATCTGGATCTTAATCCTGCCACTTATGAGCTGTGTGACATTGGGTATGACATGACTCCCTTTTTGCTCTCATTGTAAAATGAGGATGTTACACAAAGCTGAGCAGGAAGGCAGTAGTGAAGCTTAGCTGAGATGGATAAAAAGTCTCTTTCTTTTATTAGGAGCTCAAGAAATGTTGATTCTTTTTCCTCTGGGCAGTTAGAGTAATCATGTCTGTAGTCCTTTATACAATACTTTGCGGTTTACAAAATTCTTTCATAAACATGATTACATTTACCAAATATCTTGTTAAATCTTCATGGTTAATTGATTTTAATAAACCGTGAAATAAGAATTGTTTAAAATTTAAATTTAACTTATTTAATTTAAATAAAAGACTTATAATATCTGATAAGATCTGTCTTTTCAGGATTCCCTAATTTTTTTTTATAAGAAGATATTAAGCTGCTGAGGACGTATAGTAAATGTATGGCATATCTCATATTTGTAATTAAATCTGTATTTCTGGGTACCCAAAGGTAAAGAGGTGAAGAACAAACTACATTAAAGCTTAAAAGCTTTTAAAAAATCGAGACCTAATAAAATCCTGTTATTACCTCAATTTAAGGGAATAGAGAGCATACTAAAATACCATTTACGGTGGTCAGATACTTCAGAAGGTGATACAAAGGCAGTAATTAGGATTCATTAAACCTTTCCTGACCTTGTATCTCTCTTAACATCTGCAACTAGAGAATATCAAAACACTCCAACACCCAAAGCAGTTAAATCAGGGTGTGAAATGTTTAAAAATAAGAACAAATCCAAACGTTTTTCAGATACCTTACGTCTCATTTCATAATAGAAGAATCCACTGTTTGTTTGCTCAGCTGTGGAAGGCCAAGTGTTCATATTATGTGCCTCCAGTGGCTGTGCAAACACATCCTTCTTAGACTCTAACGGTTCATCAAATGTTGTGTTGTAGGACCACAGAGCTGCTTCTGAGCTTCTGCTCTGGTTTTTATGCCTGTGTGTGCCCTGTGCTGGTCACTCTGCTTCATGATGACCAACACATCATGATTCTCTGATTTTCAAACAAAACAAAACACGGTTTCATCTCTCGCACTTGGCTTTGGATATGGCACAGGCGGCCGCTCCTTCATCTCGGCTGCCGTTCCCCTGTCTGTGAGTCGTCTCTTAGCTGATGAACCCATCTCCCCGCAGTGTTGGATCAAACCTTCCCTGCTCTTGGGCCGCAGACCCGCTTCCTTCACTGGGAACCCCCTTGCCGCCCTGCCTTCCACCTCGTCTGGTGTCATTCCTCCCGCCTCAAAGGACCTTCTCCTGTCTCGATCCCACCCCTCCGGTATCCTGTTGGGTCTGGTCCCTCCCTCTCCCACCCACTCCCTCGACCGCTTTCCTTTTTCCTTTCCAAGGCTTCGATCTCTTTCCTGCACTGACTGCTCTTCTCTCTGCTGACCTTGAATCAACCACACCCCAAAAGTAAACCACGATCCTCTTTCCAAGTCTTCATCTGTTTCCCTCCGCCCCTTCTCTGCCGAGCCTCTGGGAGGGAGCCGCCTCTGGTATCTTCATCTTCTCTGCCCTCATCCCATCCGACCCAGTCCCCAGTCCTCACATCCTTCCCCACGGCAGTCTAATTGCCACGTCAAAGACCCCGTCCAGTCTGTCTTCCTGTGTCCCACAGTGCCTTGCGCGACATGTATGCTCAGTAAAACACTTGTTGGATTGAATGTACAAACGACAGGTGGGTGCATCATAATGAAGGGGTTAAGAGAACAGGTTCTGGGGGCTCAGCCCTGGCTCTGCCACTTTCGAGCTGTGTGACCTCAGGCCAGTTACTTATCTCCATACTGCAGTATGATGGGGGGATGATAACACAGCCGATTCAGCGAGTTCATAGACAGGAAATGGGGCAGGGCAGATTGTAATTGTTCAATAACTCATACTCAATATTGTTGACTAGCAACACAACTCAATACAGAGTGATGCTAAGATTGTTTTTTAAGATTTCTCCCACAGTAATGAGTCTTCAGAGTGCAGAGATATGTTTAATTTTGGAATTTGCTCTTCTTTACCATTATACCCAATTAATATGGTAAAATGAGCATGAAATTTAGAGTCAGACAGACTAGGGTTTGAATTCTGCTCTGCCATTTGACTTGCTTTGTTAAGTTACTCAGTATCTCGGAAGCTCAGTTTTCCCATCTTGAAAATTGGGAGAATAATAGTACCAGTGATTTTCTTCAAGATAACATGAGATAGCATACGGAAAGAATGTGGTCCTCCGTAGACACTTGGTAAATGCTATTTACCAGAGATTTTTCCCCATTTTCATGGGTGCCTGTTCAGTCTAAGCCCTCATCTTTGTACATTGAGATGATCACACCTACCTCCACCCTGCCCTGTGCAATCCATTCTCTCTCTAGCAGCCACTACCCTTCAACCTGCTCTCGGCCACCTGCGTCCTCCGCTCTGTCCACTGCGGAGTTCCTGGCACTTATCCCCTTTGGCTTCCGGCGTTGGCCCGCGACAATCTGACTCACTGTTGTCCGATTATGTGAGTAGATATGTAAGACGTGTGTAAAAAATATCTGTTTTGTCCTAATGTCTACAAAAGACCGACGACAGCCACAAAAGTGAACTGGCCAAGAGTTAACAGGATTGTTTTTTTCAGTCCAACAGTGCAATTCTGGAGTCGAGCCAGTGAAATCAGGAGAGGCCCTGGGAAAGGAAACTCAAATAAGAGCCAACTCCATCAAGAGGAAAGTTTCCCAATCTCAAACCACATGCCAGGGATATGAAAGCTCAACAGGATTGATTCGTAAGAAAAAATAATGACGCTAAAACATGTAACAGCCACCCAGCTGTATTACACACCCTTGTTGGTTTGCAGGAGTCAAGAAGATGAATGTGGGGTGATGATATTATAGATGCAAGTGAGAAAGAAATGAAGATAATCATCACAAAGCCTTTTTATTCCTAAATCAAATTTCATTGTGTGTGTGTGTGTGTGTGTGTGTGTGTGTGAACGGCGAAGCATTTATTTTGGGAAGACCTCAGAAGTTGAAGTTTCAAGACCTTTCTGGAAAGACTCTGCCCCCTGAGTCCAATCTCACCCTTCCCTTGGGGCCAACTTTGATTCTCCTTTTTACTGTCTTAAGTCAAACTGTCATCAGGTCCTGTCACTTCCTCCTTTCAAGGCTTCCGGGCCTGATCCCGTTCCCTCACTCCTGGCTTCCATGCCAGCCCCCGGGTTTACCTTCTGCTCTGTA